TCCCTCTGGGAGGGGCCATTCATCATCCACCTGTGGCCTTACTCCCAAGTCGACCTTTGTTCTTTAGTTGTTCCCTTCGTCTGGCAACTCTGGGAATAGGCTCCAGCTGTTCCTCTGCCTCACTGAGACACCTTCTTAGTGTCTTGACACTAAGATGGCGGGCCACAACAGCAGGCCGCCGATTATGGCAAAGTTTGGTAGGGCCGCTGGTCAGAAAGAGCCCCTTGTTACGCTCTGCCTCCAGGATGGGTCGGATCCCACTTTTCGGCCTGGGCCTGAATGTCTCACCCTCGCTTTTCTAACGTTGCAGAAGTTGGACTTCACAGAAACCGACAGTCCCAGTTCCTCAGAAGCACTTTCCCCGAGAGAACTCTCTGCCGAAGAGCTGAACAGGCAGCTGGAGAAACTCATTGTTGAAGAAGAAGCCGGTGATGAGCAGATCTTTGACTGGGTAGAGGTATAAGACTTTGCCCTGCACACCCAGTGGGAACACAGCAGGATAAGGCCCCTCTGCCCTGCCTCCATCGCCTCCCCTCCCTGATCCCGGGGATTGCTTCACTTAACCTGAACAACCTTTGGCTAGTGGGATCGTATAGGTGGGCCCAGCAAAAAACTCAGCTGTAGGGCTAGAAATTCAAAGGGCTGTGATGGGCCTAGCCAACTGCAGTATAAAGGTAAAGGGTTCCCCTTGCACATACGTGCTAGTCGTTCCTGACTCTAGAGGGCGGTGCTCATATCCGTTTCAAAGCCTGAAGAGCTGTCCGAAGACATCTCCGTGGTCATGCGGCCGGCATGACTCAACGCCAAAGGCGCACGGAACGCTGTTACCTTCCCACCAAAGGTGGTCCCTGTTTTTCTACTTGCATTTTTTTTTACGTGCTTTCGAACTGCAGAAGCTGGGACAAGTAACGGGAGCTCACCCCATTACACAGCACTAGGGATTCAAACCGCCAAACTGCTGACCGTTCGATCAACAAGCCCAGCGTCTTAGCCACTGAGCCACCGCGTCCCTATAACTGCAGTGATCCCCCCCCCCCGCCAAAACAAAGAAGGCCCTCTTAAATGCTTTGCATTGACAGGTTTAATTCCGGCCAAATGGAGAGACTGAAAGGCAGAGGGGAGTGTCAGTTCTTCCGCTGCTAGAGCTAATTGGGTAGAAAAGTATAGAGGGGTTTTTCCAGAAACAAAAGCAAGCCCTTAATTCTTAATTCTGGCAAATGCTCTCCGATTTCAGGCTAATCTAGATGAAAGCCAGATGAGTTCACCTACATTCCTTAGAGCTTTAATGACGGCCGTTTGTAAAGCAGCTCTTCTAGGTGAGTAGTGGCCACAACAGAATTCGAAGGTATGCCGCGTTTGGGCACTCACATGCCTGTTTTTTTAAGGGATTCGAATCGTTGGCGCCTGTTCCTTATTAAGCACAAATCCACGGGTTTCCGGGGTTTGAATTGCTCCCACAAAAAGACAGTATTGTGGCCCAGGTAAGACTGGCTGCGATTCTCGATCAGTGTCATGTAGTTTTTATTTTTCTTTCTTAACCATTAGAACTGTTTTCTCTCGTTCCATTAAAATAGCGAAGGGAATCTTTCTGTATATTAACGTTGGATCTGATCCACTGAGGGTACGGAACTAGATTGGCCAGTGAGAGAGAGAGAGAGAGAAGGTGCAGCCGGGGGTTTCTGTCTTGTGGCTGCTTCCGTTTAGAAAAGGAGAGGACAGAGCAAGCGGTCGCTTCCCTTGGCCGGGGCTCCTTGGCCACCCAGGGCACTTTGGATTCCAAGCCAGCTTTGGGAACGAGGGGGACTTGGAGCGGGGTGGGGTGGGGACTGGGCAGGGCTCCGCTGCCACCCGTTTCCTGAGAATATCGCTAGCTCAACCGATCGGCAAGGTCAAAGGCTTTCTTGGAAGTTGTGAGGAAAAGGGCGTGGTTGACTTGTTCTTTCCTCCCACCCAGTGGATATCTCTAGCTTGCGAGTGGATACTGCCGTCATCAAGCGGAGAGTGCCCATTTTACTCAAGTACCTAGACTCGGACACAGAGAAGGAACTACAAGCACTTTATGCACTGCAGGCATCAATAGTAAAACTTGACCAACCTCCTAGTAAGTATCCGGCACGTGTCTGTGATTCGAATTGTCATTACATTACATTGTAAATGGCTTGATTGGGGATTGATGTGAAGCGGTATGTAAGGTATTCAGCCGGTTCTATCCGGTTCGGGCAAACTGGTAGGGGCGACTGCGGGACGCCCTGCCGACCCACGTGGACGTCATGACGTCCCATTTTTTTGACGTTTTTGAGGCTCTGCGCACCCACGAAAGATGGCGCGTATGAGCGGAGCAAGCGCACATTTGCGAACTGGTAGGGAAGGTAAGTGAATAGCACCCCTGGCCATCTCCTGACTACAAGAGAAGGTTCCCGATTCCTGGATGAAGTACGAGACGGAGCGTTCCGCTCTCCACCCAGCCCTTCGCAAAATTTGTCTCTTTTCCCACTCTCTGCAGATTTGTTACGGATGTTTTTTGATTGCCTGTACGATGAGGAGGTGATATCAGAGGATGCCTTCTACAAATGGGAAAGCAGCAAAGACCCGGCGGAGCAGAACGGGAAAGGTGTAGCGCTCAAATCCGTCACCGCGTTCTTCACGTGGCTACGAGAAGCCGAAGAAGAGTCTGAGGATAATTAAAACTGAAATATACAAAAAAAAAAAAAAGAAAACAAAACAAAAAAAAAAACAATTTAAGTATTTTTTTAAAAAAAAAAGTTTCATGTCTTCGCCAATCACAGTGCAGCAAGGCCAATAACTCGCGCAGAATCCCCCTATCCCCACGTGTGCACGAGTGGGGAGAGGAAAAAAATAAAAAATAAGTCACACACGCAAAGGCGATCATGGAGGACGAAAAAGTACTTGAAAATTCAAGTCCACGCAAACCTGAGGGGCAGAAGCACTAAACCAAAATACATCTATTATTTATAGAAACTATTTTCTGTTTTAATCTTTTTTTTCTTTTCTTTTCTTTTTTCATTTTTAAACAAGGACTCATACTTTTAAGAACAAAAACCTGTTCAGACAAAAAGAAAGAAAGAAAAAGAAACCTGAGAACTATAATTTATTATTTTAAGAACTGCAAATGTCAGTGTAATTTTTAAATTTGCAGTTTCTGTAACAAATTGTATAATAAACAACAACAACAACAAAGCAGAGAAATAAATTTCCCTCCCTTTCAGATCCAACCTCAGTTTTGTTTGGAAACACAGTACCTGAGTCATAACTCAGAGGGTGGGAGGGTTAGGAATAAGATAATAGTTGAGGGAGAGGAATTTTCAGGGGGAAACAAAACAAAAACACCCAGATCTTTCTGCCTGCCTCTCGGGTTGCTTTCGAAATTTAAGAGAAAAGTAGCCAAAAACAAAAAAGGTATAACATTGGACCTAAGGAATTGCATATCCGAAAACGGTTGTGGACCAGACTGCCTGGAGAATAACTTGTTCAAAACAGTCCGATCCTTGGACGCCGAAGGAAAACGGCCTAGTGATACTTAACAGAACCTTTTAGAGCAACTTTTAAGGCTTTGTAAATACATAGAACAAATATTTAAAAAGAAAACAACAAAATTGACTCCATGCTATTCTTTTCACTTTCAAAAATATACAGAACAAAAATAAAGAGCAACCTTGCAAGTTTTAAAAGCACAAAGGAAGTAGCTTCTCTTTGGACGAGGCGGCCTTGGCTACCCCTCGGCGGGCCTCTCTGCTGTGGAAGGACCCACGTTCGAGGTGGGACTTGCGCAAATTGTCACTGTCCAGGCAAGGGGAAGGTGGGGGGGAAGAGTTTTAAGACTCCCAGGCCTGAATAAAGAGGAGGTAGGTGGTCGCTGACTGGGCAAGCTTTGCTTACACCATTTTCCTTGTCTGTTTTGTTTTGGGGGATTGGGGGATTGCAGGAACGAATTAGGTGGTGCCATTCAACATGGGAAGGATGGCTGGGGGAATATATCTGAGTGCCCTTCACACCCTGTGTGCGTGTTGTGTGTGTGTGTTGTGCGTAAGGCAGTTAGTGCACAAGGAAGATGTGCAGATCGGGGTTGAACTGTGGGGGAAGGGCCCACAGCTGGATCAGGGCACCCGTGAGGCTGCCTAGTCGGGTATCCCAGCTCGCAGGCAGCAAAGCATGGGCAGCCCCACTGTCTTTATTTTATTTATTTCATTTGCCAAGAACGTAGTTGGTAATAAGTATAAGCATGGATTGGATACATAAAATAGGTACAAATAAGAAAAAAAAAAACATTTAGGACAGGACACGCTGGTCCTCTTATGCAACCAGCATAATTCCAAGGATCGAGGGCGGCGGAGCAAAAATGCACGGGTAGATTTATTCATTTTTTTAAAAAATCGATTTTAGCACTTCGTAAATCAAAAGGTGTTAAAAAGAAGCTTGGTGAGAAATAAGCCGCCACGCCCACCAGGCTCTTCCGGGGAGCAACTTCCGCCCATAAGAGGGCGGCAACCTCGGGGACGTCAGGGTGGGCGGGGCCAGCTCAGCGCGCATGCGCTTTTTTCCTCCCTCCCTATTTACCCACCCACCCACCCGCTTCAGGCCAAATACGACCGCCCACCGCTCCGTCAAGCGGCGGGACCTTCCCCCCCCGCCCCGCCCCCGCGAAATATTTTGTCACGCGTGAGGAGAGTGTGTCGAGTTGAGCCGGGGGGGGGGCCGGCGGGGAGAAAGGAGGGAAAAAAAAAAAGAGAGAAAAAAAAAGACCTCCCGCGCGCGTGCGCAGTTCCCAGCTTCCCCCCCACCGCCAATCGGCGAGGACCCTGTGCGCACGCGGGAAAAGGACGCCTCTAGTCTATTGGGCGCCTGCGTTGTTTCTGTGTGTGTGTGTGTTTTTTTTTTCTTTTTTATCCCCTGGCTCGCCATTGGTTCCTTCGGCCGCGACGAGCCCCGCCTTTTCCTACCTGTCGCCGCCGGGACTTCCGCCGTTCTTAGTTGTATTGTATGTATGTGTGTGTGAGGTGAAAAAAAGGGGAAGGGGGGAGGGGAAAGAAAAGGTTCCTTTCGCCACCGCCGCTGCCCCCGCTTTGTGCGCCCTCAAGGCTCTCCAGAGGGGGCCCCCCCGCAAGGCGCGCGCGGTGAGTGAGCGAGCGGAGAGAGAGAGAGAGAGAGGGCGGGGCCCAACGACCCCCCGCGGGGCCTCCCGCTTTCTACGCGCCTGTCACGGAAAGGCCTTTTTTTTTTTTTCCCCCTCCCCTCCCCCTCGCCCAGAATTCGAACCGGGCAAAAGGGCCGCTTCCTCAGCCCGCCTCGAGTCTCCCGAGAACCACCGTTCTTCGCCTTTTAGGCGGGCCTCCCCTGTGGTGGTGGGGGGGACATCCGAAGAAAACGGGCCTTGCCCCCCCATGCCCGTTGGGGAGGAGGGGAGGGGGGAGGGGTGGGTGTCTTGTCCTTCCCGCCATAAGAAGAAGCCGTTGCTACCTCAGCACCATCACCTCGTTTTAAAGCCTCGGAGACAACAACCCCGGAGCGGCCTGGATTCCTCCTGGCTGTTTATAGATGCCGCTTGGACGAAATGGAGGGGAGGGGGAGGGGGGGGAATGGGGGGGTGGGGAACACGGGATTGACCATCTTTTCTCCCCCCCCGCCTCTCCCTTCCTCCTTTATTTTATTATTTATCCTTGATTTATCCTTTTTTTTTTAAAAAAAAAAAAATTATTTTGTCGCATTTCTATGCCGCCTAACTCCCAAGGGACCTCTTTATCCTTTATTTTATCCTTTATTTGTTATTTATCGCTTTGTCAAACCACGTACGAAGCTAGCAGGTGTAAAATATTTTATTTTTTTAAATTATTTGATTTATATGCCGCCCTTCTCTGGAGACTCAAGGCAGCTTACAATGTATTAAGCAATACCCTTCATACTTTTGTGTATGTGTGTGTGTGTGTGTATATATATATATATATATATGTATGCATGTATGCATGTATGCATGTATGTATGTATATGTACATGTATATGTATATAAATAAATTAGATTTATATGCCGCCCTTCTCCAGAGACTCAGGGCGGCTTACAATGCATTAAGCAATAGCCTTCATACTTTTGTGTATGTGTATATATATATATGTATATGTATATGTATATAAATAAATTAGATTTATATGCCGCCCTTCTCCAGAGACTCAGGGCGGCTTACAATGCATTAAGCAATAGCCTTCATACTTTTGTGTATGTGTATATATATGTATATGTATATGTATATGTATATAAATAAATTAGATTTATATGCCGCCCTTCTCCAGAGACTCAGGGCGGCTTACAATGCATTAAGCAATAGCCTTCATAACTTTTGTGTATGTGTATGTATATATATATATATATGTATATGTATATGTATATAAATAAATTAGATTTATATGCCGCCCTTCTCCGGAGACTCAGGGCGGTTTACAATGCATTAAACAATAGCCTTCATACTTTTGTATATTTTATACAAAGTCAGCTTATTGCCCCCACAACTGGGTCCTCAATTTACCTACCTTAGAAAGGATGGAAGGCTGAGTCAACCTTGAGCCTTGGCGAGATTTGAACCTGCAGTAATTGCAGGCATCTGGTCTTAATAACCAGTTTAATAACAGGGTGCCTTAGACCACTATACTACCAAGGCTATTTTATCCTTTATTTGTTATTTATTGCTTTGTCAAACCATGTACGAAGCTAGCAGGTGTAAAATATTTTTCTTTTTTAAATTTTTTTGATTTATATGCCGCCCTTCTCCGGAGACTCAGGGCAGCTTACAAGGCGTTAAGCAATAGCCTTCATACTTTTGTATATTTTATACAAAGTCAGCTTATTGCCCCCACAAACAGGGTCCTCATTTTACCCACCTTAGAAAGGATGGAAGGCTGATTCGACCTTGAGCCTGGTGAGAATTGAACTCGCAGTAATTGCAGGCAGCTGGATGTTAAATGCTGCCTTAGTAGGAGGCATTAGCCTCCTACGCCACTCAGGCTCCACTCAGGCTCATTTAGCGACCGAGCATTTAAAATGCACGGTCGCTAAACGAGGCTGTGCAACCTTTTTTGCAAAAAAACAAACAAACACCCACATACCCCCACAATGGCCTCCCACAGGCTTTAGGGGTGAAAGAGACCGCAGCTTCCCCCCCCCCCCAGACAGGAGTCAGTTCTCTCTTTTTAAGATTTTTTTTTTCTTCACATTTTTATTTTCCTTTTCCCAGAAGCTTGCTGGCAACAACCTCACGTTTTATACAACCGACTTTACGGCGCAGATGCCTGCAGAGAGGATTCAAATGCTCCTGGTTATCTTTTAGCTTAGAATTTCCCTCCCCCCTCTCCCTCTCTCCTTTTTATTTGTTATTTGTAATTTATCACTTTGTCAAACCATGTACGAAGGTAGCAGGTGTAAAATATAAAATACACGGTCGCTAAACAAGGCTGTGTAACCTTTTTTGCAAAAAAAAAAAACAACAACACCCCACAATGGCCTCCCACAGGCTTGAGACCCCAGCTTTTTTCCCAGACAGGAGTCAGTTCGCTCTTTTTAAGATTTTTTGGTTACATTTTATTTTCCTTTTTCCAGAAGCTCGCTTGGCAACCTCACATTTTATACAACCGACTTTAGATGCCTGCAGAGAGGATTCAAATGCTCCTGGTTATCTTTTTAGCTTAGAATTCCCCTCTCTCCTCCCCCGTCTGATTTATTGCAGCTGACAAAGCTCCAAATGATGTGATCCCGGGATCCTTTTTGGGAAAGGGATATTGCTGTTGTGTGGTTTTTATTTTTATTTTATATATTTTTGCTATGGGGGGTGGGGAGAAAGTTGTTCCTTTGCATTTGTTGAGGAGGGGGGGCAAAGTATGGCTTCTTGTTTTCTTTCCAGGTGTAAATAGTCTTCTTGCCTGCATTATGCAGAAGGTGATAGTGGGCGGGTGGATGGGGGTTTCTGGCTTCCAAGGCAGGCCGCCAGGAAAAAAAAATAACCCTTTGCAACTTGGCTTTTGTGCTGTCGGACTAAAATGCATTGCTCGGGTTCAGTGTGTCTTGTGCCGATGCTTCAGAGGATTTTGGAAGGGCAGAAATGTTCGACTTTTTAGTGAAGCAGGAACACGCGCAAAAATGCTAAGTGTCTGTGTTAGAAACAGAGCTATTTTAAAAGAGAAATGAGCTATAAATGTTAAAGTTGTGTTATGCTTTTTCCTCAGGGTTAACTGGGCTCTGTCCTTGAAAAGGGAGCGCAAACAGATTATTATATTTTTTCCAGTCTCTCTCTCTCTCTCTCTCTCTCTCTCTCTCTCTCCCTCCCTCCCTCCCTCCCTCCCTCCCTCCCTCCCTCCCTCTCTCTCTCTCTTTTTTTTAAGAAATCCAATCCTGGAAACCTGGAAACTTCATTTATTTATTTTTTTAAAAGCCCATCCTGTTCGCATTTCTCCCACTTATGAGGAGGATGGGAAGAGGCCCACAGCCATTCTTATTAGAATTGTAATCCTTAAAAAAAAAACATTTTTGTATTGTTTCTGTCATCTCAGTTAGAATGGGAGGGGAGTGTTGCCTTGCATCGTTTTTTTTTTCCCCTTGGATTCCTGAGTGTCATATTTCACCTAAGTCATATTACTCTGCCATCCTACCCATCCCCTCTGCCGTTTATTAAAGGACCTCGTTGGAGTCTGATCTGGGGTGGCAAGAGGAGATGGTGACAGCTGGTGGGGGCACTTTGGGGTTGTTTATAGAACTTGCAGGTTGCCCTGGGTGCGGTTGGAATACAACATTTCTTTTTTTTTTTTTGGCTGTTTCCGCTTTGCTCCCGTTTGAGCTTCGGGTGAGGATTGGCCTCTGTGTCCCTCTGACATACGAATGCCCCATGGTTGGAACTTGCTTGAGTCTAGCTGCTTCCTCCCTGCTGGGTCCCCCTCTGTGGGGAGGGTGCACCTGGTTCTTGGTGTCCCGTCCCCTTCCCTTGCTTGGCTGTCTTGTGTCCTGCATCATGTCCTACCTTGCTAGCGAAGGGGCCGGTTTTCGGAAGTGGTTTCAGCTTAGCTGCCTAAGTTTAAGTAACGGCCAAAAGGGAGCTGCTGCTTCTCTGTGACTGCTGCTGTTGCTGTTGTTGTTTTAATTTTGTTGTAACTCTGCCAGGTGAAAGGGAGCTAAATTTGGTTTAAGATATATATATATATTTCGTTTTGTTTCCTTGTTCTTGATAACCTCCTTTCACACCAAATCTTTTTTTTTTTTTGCACTTCTGTTAGGAAGTCCTCCTTCCCCTTGAGGTTAAGCCCTGGGCCTCCAAAGTGTGTTACCCTCACGTTGAGGCTAGACATTAATTTTAAATGGCGACTGAGCTGTCTGAAGCCGATCCCGCACACCGTAAGGCAGTTCCACTCTTAACAGGAGCTCCCCTGGACAAGTTGAGTGAGGTAGGGGCTGACCCCTCTCCACGCTTGCCCCCTGGATTGGCCCTCTGCAAGGGACCTTGTGCTCTTTCTTCCCTCTTGCTTCTAGGAATCTCAGCTGGGCTCCATCCGCCCTTCCTTACCAGGTGTTGACCCCTTCCTTCCCTGCTTCCCCAGTGCTTCCCTCCTCTCCCCCACCCCACCCCACCCCTGTGTCGTTCTGAGCTGGAGCAAAAAACGCTTGTGAAGTGGGAAGCAGGAAGCTGCGGACCCTCCAACCTGCTGATGATCCCAAGCACAGTCACCTCTCTTCTCAGATGGGCAAGCCGCTCAAAGGAGAGGTGGCAGTGGGGTTCTCCTCAGCCTGTCGGTGGGGGGGTCCTCCTTTTCCGGGCTTCTCGTGACGCTTTGCTCCCTTCCCAGACAGTAGAAGACGGAGCCATGCCGATCCGCCGAGCGGTGAACGCTTCTTCTCGGGAAACTCCTCCCAAAAGCAAGCCTGCTGAAGCTGAGGAAACCAAGCCAGGTAAAGAGGGGTTGTTTTCTTTCCAGGCTCACCTTGACCGCTGCTGGAGGGGGTGGGGAGGTGGTCTTAGCAGGTATATGTGGAGATTACCATGCTGGGTCTCCTGAGTCACTGCCGAGTCCTTGGCTCAGGAAGGGTGAGCGTCTTTTCAGGCTGTGCACTGAGGATGTTAAAAGAGGCCGAAAAGATACCTCCAATTTAATTAATTAACTTTTACGCCACCCATAAAGGGGATTCAGTTAGCTTCATTATGTTGCCCCAGTTGTAGTTTGTATCAAGCAGGTCTTATTGACCTGAGCCAAAGTGTCAGATCCACCAGCATGAGCTTGGCACCTTGCTGGTGTTCTGCCATTGATCGAAGAAGAGAAAGGAGAAGATGTCAAATGGGCAATAAAAAAGCTGTATACTTTTATTATGGGGATTAGTGAGGGTTGGGGGGGGGATTGACAATTGAGGAAGAACAGAGCGGTTTGGAATCTGGTTCGTACTGGCCGCGCTGGCATCTTCAAGGTCGTTTGCCCTGAGCGTGGCATTTCACTAGCCCAAACATCTCGGGAGTTTCTCATAACATGGGGGCGGTGCTGGCTTGGCTGGTGTTTTGGTTTTGTATTGGAAGTATGGGGATTTTTTAGATTCTGCTCGACTCTCCTGCAATCAGCATCTCTTAGTGAAAAGCCGCCTTTACACTTCAAATGGGGTCGAGAGTTTTTACTTCCCTAAGAGGCAGGTCTGACACAAAATATGGTTGCACTGAGCTCTAAACTTAAACGTCTTTGCCATTTAGAGCCTTGTTTGACAGGAGACCTGGTAGTCAACTTGCCAGCACTGTGTTGAGCTAGGAGTCGGGGGCGGGGGGAGGCGCAGTCTGGGATCTGAGGCTTAACCCTGAGAGTTGCAGCTGTAGGGCAGAGCAGGGGGAGCCAAGGGGGAGGACTGCAGCTCTCCAGCAGGAGGGAATTCTCTCATCCCTCACCTAACCTTGTTCATTGGGAGTTGCCAAGGCCAGATCTTTCAGGATCTCTGCAGAGGATCCGTGGCCCCTTTGCTTTTCCAAGTGGCCATACCTGGCCTTGCTGGAAAGCCCAAAGGCTCTTCTTCAGCAGGGAGTGTCTGGTCTTTTGCCACTGCTTGCCCTTTCCCCTCCCCCTCCCTTCAGAACCAGATGTCAGCTCGGAAGAATCTGCCTCCACCGTGGAGGAACAAGAGAATCAGGCACCCGCGGCTGCCCCCACTGAGACAGAGCAGCCGAAGGAGGCCGAGGAGGAGGAGAAGGCAGATGTGAAGCCTGCCAAGGAAGCCAAGAAGGAGTAAGAAGCCTGGGGGGAAGGGGGGGGAAAGCAGGAAGGCCTTGGTGGGAGGGAAGAGGGAGATGGGCTGCAGAGGCCAAGAGGGAGAGGGCCCTTGCTAGAAAGGACCCAGTGTCCACCATGTACTTGCTGCCCCCACAATACAATCCACGCCCCTGTGACCCAACTGTTTGGCATGGGGGCTCAGGAGTTCAAAGCCCCCTGGGGCACAAGTTGCTGTCTCAGTCCACTGGGTGGCGCCTCGTTTCTTCCTGTTGAGATAGGAGACTGACCCACATTTGGGGCAGGGACACAGGTCCACCATCTTCAGCTTGGCACCTCTCTGGCGTCCTGCCATCAAAGGACCGGGCAGGGGGAGGGATGGGAGGGGGACAAATGAGCAATAAACCTGTATGCATCTATGTGGGAATTCGGATGAGGGGGAAGGAATGAACAGCTGAAGAAAAGCAGATCAATATCGAACCGGCTTGTGCCAGGCATCTTTGGGGCGCTTTGCCCCGAGTGTGGAAAGTTTCGAGCTCAAAACACCTCAGCATTTCCAAAACATCTCGGCAGCACCTCATTGGCTGGGATTGGACTGGTCATGGAAGGGCTGGGAATGAAGGAAAGAGTTTTGTGCCGAGGTGCGGGAAACTCAGATTCCACCTGACTTTACTGCAACCAGCATCTCTTATTAAAAGCACCTTTCACTTCAAGCAAATGGGAGTCGAGGGTTTCTCTTCCCTGAGGGATAGGGCTGGGACAGGTCTGACAGTGGGCACCTTCTAGCATGGGTTTGCTGGCCCAGTTGTGGCCCTTAGAAGGCGACGTGGGGTCATACCGTGGGAACGGGTTTTCAAGAAAGGCAGCTGTCAGCTCATTTCTGCTTTGGCCTGCCACCAAGCCACTCACCTCTTTTCTCGTCCGCCAAGGGAGAAGGATGCGGAGAAGGAAAAGGAGAAAGAGAAGAAAGTGAAGAAAACAATTCCCGCCTGGGCCACTCTTTCGGCCAGCCAGTTAGCCAGAGCGCAGAAACAGACGCAGATGGCAGCTTCCTCTCGGCCCAAGATGGATGTCATTTTGATCGAAGCAATCAAAGTGAGGATGGGGGCGTTGGCGGTGGGGTGGGCGGAAAGACCTCTCAACGATTTGGCCGCCAAGACGGCTGCCAGGAGAGAGCTGCCCACACACCCTTCTCGCCCTCCCAGGCGTGCTATCAGAAAGGCGGGGCGTCGGTGGTCGCCATCCGAAAGTACATCATCAGCAGGTACACTTCGCTGGACCTGGAGCGGAGGGGGTACCTCCTGAAGCAGGCCCTGAAGAGGGAGCTCGAGCGGGGGGTCATCCGGCAGGTAAGAACTGGGGGGGCTCTTGGAGCTACAGACTGGCCTGCCCTTGAAGGCCACCGGCGTTCGAAAGGCCAAGAGCAGTTCCTGCTTGGCTTCTGGAATGAGCCACCCCACCCCACCCCAGGCAGACCCAGCCAAGTCGGATAAACGTCTACGCAAAGCCCATTTCCGTCCCCGTCCCCCTCCCATCGCCAGGGTGGTGGATGCCCTTTGCATTTGGAGGTTTTGCTTCCAGCCTGATTGCACCCCCTTTCTTCTTCTTCTTTCTTCTTCTTCTTCTTCTTCTTCTTCTTCTTCTTCTCTTCTCTTCTTCTTCTTCTTCTTCTTCTTCTTCTTCTTCTTCTTCTTCTTCTTCTTCTTCTTCTTCTTCTTCTTCTTCTTCTTCTTCTTTCTTCTTCTTCTTTCCTCTTCTTCTTCTTCTTCCGGGACAGGTGAAAGGGAAAGGGGCTTCTGGAAGCTTTGTGGTGGCCCCCAACTCAGGGAAAGCGGGCTCCAAGGCCAGAGACCGGAAGGTAAGTCCGACGGAGTTAGCCGTGCCCCAGAGCCTCCAGAGCCTGAGTTAGCTGCTTCCCTAGGGAGGGGCGGGATCTTCTTCCATAGACGTTCCACAGGTGCAGCCCCTCACCTGGATGGTGGAGGAGGGAGGGGCACAGCGGCTATTGTCAGCTACCTCTGACCTGATGGAAGACCGAAGGGGCCTCAAGCCCCACCTTGGGCTCTTGAAATCGCTTGCCAGCCTCCTTGGGTGGAGCTTCATCCCTGACGGCTCGTTTTCCTTTTCAGCGGAGCTTGTCAGCCTCCAGCGCAGAGCAGCACGTGAAGCTGGAGGACGTCCTCCCGCTGGCCTTCACCCGCCTCTGTGAGCCCAAGGAGGCCTCCTACAGCCTGATCAAAAAATATGTCTCCCAATATTACCCCAAGCTGAAGGTGGACATCCGGTAAGGCGCCCAGAAACGGGCATGACCACCGTGGCCAAGGGGGAGCAACTCTGAGCTCCCCGGGGACGGGGGGGCACCTATCCTGCCCTTTTTGCAGGACCAGCCAGCCAGCCTCTCTGTGGCTTCCCCTTTAGGCCCCAGCTGCTGAAGAATGCCCTGCAGCGGGCGGTGGAGAAGGGTCAGCTGGAGCAGATCACGGGCAAGGGTGCTTCCGGCACCTTCCAGGTGGGTAAGGGAGGCTTCCCCGGGAATTGGGGCTGGGCCCGGCCTAGCACGGATGTGAGGGGGGGGTGTGTTTCTCTCTTTCCCTCCCACCTCCTCTCGCCCGAGTTGCTCATTCCTCCTCCTTATGTGCACCAGCTGAAAAAGTCGGGGGAGAAGCCGTTGCTGGGCGGAAGCCTGATGGAAGAGACGCCATCCTGTCCGCCATCGCAGCCATGAACGAGCCCAAGACCTGCTCCACCACCGCTCTCAAGAAATACGTCCTGGAGAAGCACCCCGGCACAAACTCCAGCCTCCAGGGTAGGACCAGTGGCAGCGCCACCGGGGAAAGGCACTCGGCCACTGCTGCTCCCCAGGTGGCTGGTGCATCTCCTCCCCCGCCCCCGGGGAAACCATCCGCCACTCTCAGGCCCTATCCAAAACGGCAGTCCGTTGTCCTCCGGCCTTTTAAAACCCGCTGGAATGGGATCCTTGGGTATCTTCTTTGGGCTGAGATGCTACTTCTGTAATAGTAACAGTGTTGGAAGGGACCTTGGAGGTCATCTAGTCCAGCCCCCTGCTCGCCCCCTGTACTAGGGATTCGAACCGCTGAACTGCCGACCTTTCTGATCGACAAACTCTTAGCCACTGAGCCACCTAGTCAGTGGCTCTGACTTCTGGGTGCCTACCAGCTTGCCTGGCTCTGCCTTGGATTTGGAGACTTGGCACGGGGCCAATTCTGGAGTGGGTTTTCTCGACGCCCCCGTGCCCCTCCCCCCTATACCGTTGTCTGTGCCCCCTGCAGTCCACCTCCTGAAGAGGACTCTGCAGAAGTGCGAGAAGTACGGCTGGATGGAGCAGATCTCCGGCAAGGGCTTCAGTGGCACCTTTCAGCTGTGTTTCCCCTACTATCCAAGGTGAGTCTGGGGCAGCCGGATCCCTCCCTCCTGCCTGCTGGGGAGTGGGGGTGGGGGGGCGACCTCCGGCCTGTTTATTCCTTCGTTGTTCGGCTGCTGGCCAGGATGGGCTCTTCCTCGGGGTGACCTCTCTTCTCTCCCTATAGCCCCGGCATTCTGTTCCCCGAGAAACAGAAGGAGGACAAGGAGGAAGAAGAGGAGGAAGAGGAAGAGACAGATGATGATGATGACGACGACGAGGAAGAAGAGGAGGAGGAAGAAGAGGAAGACGAGCCGCCTCCAAAGAAGAGGTAGGTGCCCCACAGATGCTGGGTCGGTGGCCGTGGGCAGTCTGGGCGTTACAGGAGGGTGGTGAGCAGAGGGGATGCCCTGTCCTTTGGTGGGGCTCGGATGCCTTCTGTGTTTCCGCACCGGCGGCATCCGGCGGCCTGAGATCTTGTGCTCCCCTGGGCAGGATGCCAAAGCGGCCCCCACCCAAAGCCCGGAACAGAGCCCCTCCCCTGGTGAAGCGACGGGAGGCCAAGCCCGCCGCCCGGAAGGCTCCCGTGGCGCACCGTGGGAAAGCAAAGCCGCCGCCTCCGCCGCCTCCTCCACCACCTCCTCCGCCCCCCAAGGCCAAGAAAGGCAAAGCCGTGCCCCCCGGCCGGCTGTCAAGAGCCTCTCCAGCACCAGCCCGGCCGCCAAGAAAAAGCCGGCCGCGGCGGCTGCGGCAGTACCAAGCGTGACCGGAAGCCCTCCGGGAAGAGAAGCAAGACTACCATGCGGAAGTCGCTGAGAGCCAAGAAGTAGCCGGTGGGTGGGTGGTGGGCGGGGCACCGCTTAGGGGCCCCCCTTCTTTTATAAGTACAGCCCCCCCCTTCTGTTTGTAATTTAGTTCTGAGGCTTCACCATCTCTGTCTCCCCCATTTCCCCCCCCCTCCCCAGCAGTGGAGAACCGCAGCACTCCCACCTTCTCTCCCCCCCCCTCCGCCCCCCCCCCCCAGCCAGCCTCTGGGTCTAGCATCGCAGGTAGATCCAGATTCTTCCTGCTGTGCCTTCGCAGCCTCCTCTCCCCCCCCCAACCCCCATACACCCCCCTCTCCCTCCCCACAGAGTCTGGCTTCCTTTCTTCCTCCAATCCATCCCCCTCCCCACCTCCCCCCCCAACACAGGACTGTTCTTTTTCTAAACAAGTTTAAAAAATAAAAATATATAATCTGTACAGGGTGCATCCGGGCTTGGGGGGGGGGGCTTTTGAAACCGGTTGGAAAGATTTTTATATTTTTAGAAGTGGAAACAGACCCCCCGCCCCCCCCCTTTTCTCCTCTTGCCAGGCCCTCCTTTATCTCGGCCCCCTTTTTCCCCTCCCCAAAGTCCTCCCGACACCCACCCCGCCTCCCTCCCTCTTTCCTCCCCTCCCCAAGTCAGTGTTCTGTTGTTCAGCTTAGTCGCCCCCTCCCCTCCTCCCGTGACGGTCTCTCCCCCACCCCACCCCCACAACGTTTCCTTCGGAGGGGCCTTTGAGCTGCTTTCCCTTGAAAAGGGGGAACGTTTCACCCCCTTCTTTGCCCCCCCACCCCTCTCCCCCCCCTCCCCCGTTTTTCATCCCGGAGAACGATCCCGATCGCCGACGTAGAGCCGCAGAGCGAAGGTCGCTTTTCTCTTTGCAGAAATAAAAGCTTAACAAGAACTCCGGAGAGCCGCTTTTTTGACTGCGCGTCGTTCTTTTGGGGCTGGGGGCGAAGTGGGGTGGGGGGGCGGGCAGAGGGAGGGGGAAAGGGGCGGGGCCTCTGCCGGCCTGTCTTCCGCCTGATTGGCCGGCCAGGTGCGGGGGCGGAACAGGTGGCCGGCCACGAGCGATCGCGGAGAGCGGCGGGGCTCCTTTTTTTTTTCCCCCTGGCCGGTGGCCGGGCAGAGCCGCACCATGAAGAGGCAGCCGACCGGGAGGGGACCGGAGCCGAGAGCCGGCCGGGTCCTGACCAAGCCGGCCGAGGTGAGGCGGAGCCGGGGGCAGGGCGAAGGGGCGCCCGGGAGTCGGGCTGAACTGAACTGATGCGCGCTTCCTTTGCCGCAGTACGTGGGCTCTTTCGCCGTGGAAGACACCGATCTACCCCGGGCGGGCCAAGCCGTCCATCAGCGGCTGCAGCTCCTGAAGGTGCGCGGTGGTCTTAGTTGAGGATGGGGTGGGAGACGGGACTGGACTGGCGGCTCCGGTTGCCTCCGCCTCCCCGCTCCGTCCCTCTCGCCCTTCTTTTCTTTTCCCCCCCACGCAGGACTGTCCGCGGCGGCGCTCCGTCCTCCTGCGCTTCTGCCTGCAGGGCTTGAAGATGCTCGGACGCGACGGCGAGGTAGGGCGGGCGCGCCTCCAACCTGGCGGGCGAGAGGGGCGGACGGGGCAGAGGCCGGGAGGCTGAGCCGCCCCCCCCCCCCCGATGCTCTCTCGCCCGCAGGCTCCGCTCATGGCCCACGCCCTCAAGCGCCTCGCCTACAGCACCTGCAGGCCCGCCGATCGCCAGTTCGCCTTCCTGGCCCGCAACCCGCGAGGAGCTCGGGGCAGCCTCTTCTGCCACCTCTTTGTGGGCAGCCAGCCTGGCGAGGTTCGTGGGCGACGTTGCTCGGCGCTGGGTCTAGGTCCGGCTCTTGCTCAGGCAAGGCTGTCTGGCAAGACCAGGTGGAAGGCTTCACCCAGGCTCTTCCAAGTCACCTGGCAGTGGCTTGCACAGCAATAAAAGCCCCGGCCGCTGCTGCGGGCACCCAGAGGAAGGCCGAGCATCAGTCAGACACTCAGCCTCCTCCATCCCCCCCCCACTTCTGCCAGGTCCAGGCGCTGCACTACCTCCTCTGCCGCTTCTTCCAGCTGGGCTACCTTCTCCTGCACCCCGAAGAACAGGACTGGTCCTCTTCCGGTGGCTCTGCCCAGCGAGACTCCGGGAAGCACCTGGGCGTCTCTCTGGACAGCCAGGTGGTCTGGGAATCCCTCAATCCTGAGGAGGTCTCCCAGAATGTCAACGCCCTTGTGTCCTTCCGGAGGCTGCCCTGCCCCACAGAATTCGGGACCTCGGTCAGCGTGGTGAGTGGCCTTGGCCTCCCCTAGTTCACCTCTTCAGCAGCAGCGGTGTCCTCTCTTGGGGACCGGGGTCTGAGATGTGTCCAACCTTCAGGCGCCTCCGAGGGTCTTAACCTCCAGGTCAAGCAAGCCCTGGTCTTCCAGTCGAGAGTTGAGGTTCGGTTCACAGAACCAAGGGACTGTTTAATAAGTGTCCCGCAGCTAGTTTGCATCTACCAAATGCAAAACGGCCTCCAGTTGTGGACCAGGCCCCTGGATCTCTGCCTCCCCTGCTCAGCAGCTGCCCTGCTTGTGCCCCTAGAGAGAGAGGCTGGACCTGGAGGAAAGCAGCAGCAGCAGCGTGAGCAGTGCCCGTCCTGGGAACCCCTATTGCTCCCCAATTCTGGTGCGCAAGAAGGCCATTCGCAGCAAGATTCTACGTTCTGGGGCCTACCGAGGTTGTACCTTTGAGGCGGCCTCTCAGCAAGGCGCCTGGGAAGGATGTGAGTATTTGGGGAGCCTGGGGGCGTGGGGTGAGGCGGGTAGAAAAAAGAAAGAGAAAGAAGCCAGGAAGGAAAGGGGCACAGAGGCTTCATTGATAACCTTGGAAGCTCTGCATTGCAGATAAAGTCTTGCCAAGGGAAAAGGACGATTTCGTTTTCTTCCTGGCAATGAGGAAAAAGCTTTCACAAAATTATTGCAAGTTGAAATAAGATGGCCGCCGGGCTGTCATTTAGCAGAACCGAGCGTGGGTAGCTGGATCGGTGCCAGGATCCACCAGCACAAGACCTTCTGCTCCCCCCATTCCCACATTTTCATGTTAGGCAACAACCTTGACGAAACCTTCCAAATCCAGTTTTTGTGTACCTTGGTTCCAGTTTCCTCCAGCTGCGATGGCAAAGCGAACCTGCTTCACCTGCCAGAAAACGAGAACGATCTGAGAGAGAGTGTGTGGTCCTTTGCGGGCATCAACAGGTGAGGAGCGGGGCAGTCTCTCCCCCCCCGGATGGATCTGGGACCCTCCTAGGCGGTTCTGCCCACCCCACCAGCAGACCTAGGACTTGCCGGTGCACGGCGGCTATGGATGGTTGCTGGATTTTGCGTGGAAGCATCAGGGGCCTTGAGCGCCCCTCTGGGTGAAGCTGCAGAGACACACACACTCATTCTGCTCGGCCTCCTGCTTCCTGCATTTTGCTCTGCCTTCCAGAGATGCCGGCCTGGCCCTGCTAAGGAATGACATGCTGGGGGCTTTTCTTCTGTGGGCTGAGTCAGGATCCACCCATCAGTGGTGCCTGGCAGTGAGGACCCGCTGCGGCGTCGTTCCATATCAAATTTACCGCAGCCAGCTAGGAAAGTACTCGGTTGAGGTGAGAGAATTGGGGAAGGTGGCTATGTTAGCAAAATAATTGCTTGCCGTAAGAATGTTTGCTAGTCTACTTCTGTCTACCAGATTCCTTCTTCCTTGCAAGGGTGGCCTTGCTGTTTTCAAGGGCTGTTTTCTCCCCTCCTTTGACCAACAGCACACATTTCCAAAGCCTCGCCAAACTAAACTTCCTTTCTTCAGTCCTTAAGCCCATGTTTCCATTGTTGTTTTTAATTTCTCTTTTAAATTGGGCATTGTTTTCACTTGCAGTACCTCCCCGTGCTGATTTACGCTGCAATATCAACTTATGTCATGGCACGAAAGTGGTACGGTCTTGTCATATTTTTCTTTTCTCTTTCTCTCTCTCTCTCTCTCTCTCCCTTCCCCCCTCCCTCAAGCATTTGAATATAGAATTCCCCAGTATGGAAGTCTTGTTAGACAATTACTCCGGGGTTCGTGCAGGCCTGTTCTGCTCCTTGGGTGCAGGAAGAATCAACCATTGTTATGAGGAGCAAGACGATCCGGTCGAAGATCTCTGGGGAGAAGAGCGAACTCGCCGGAAGTCCTCATGGCTGTTTGGGGCCAGTCGGTCTCTGGCTGTGCAGCACGAGGTGGAGGGATGCTCAGCCGGGTCCTTCTCTTAAGTGTTCCTGCCATCCGAAGAGGACAGAGACCCTGGTTGGCCCTTCCTGCTCACTCTCGTGGCTTGGTGTCAGGTTTCGAAGTCGTTGCACTTACTCCAATGCTGACACTTGACTTTGTTGTGGTTCTTTTTGGGTTGTGCGCAGAGGGTACCTCTTCCTCTCGTCGTGTCGTAATTCAGGGTTTTTTCCTGCCGTGTCTGCCCAGCTGGAGTCAGAAGGCTGATGCACACAGTTGACTGGGGGGCCCCGCACCCGATTTAGGGAGTGCCATGGGGCGTCTTGGGCTGACAGCACATATTGACCAATCAGTTTGGGAGTCAGCTTGGCTGGCCAGGGTGCCAGACTGAGCCTCCCTGCCTTTGCACTCCTGGCCGATTCTTCTCTGTGCATTGGGGAGGGGGGGACAAAGGCCTTTGATCAGGAGCCTGGATTTCAGCGTGGTCTGTATAGTGATGCCCTCATGCCCTTATTTATAGGAAGCTAAATGTGCCTGTATGTGAGTAATTTATTGGAAACAAGTGTATTGCTTTCTCCAGGGCTGCTGTGTTCAGTGGTGAAGATGCATTGCTTATATTTAACAGATGCAAAACCGTTTGTACAGGGATGCCCTGCAATCATATATATATATATAAATAGATATCTATATATTTGTATTTCAAATGCAAAGTCTGCGCGTCGTTTTCTTCCCGGAAGAGAAAGCGAGCCGGGCGCTCCTCCGTAACCACGGCAACGATCGCTCCCCTCGGCGATCCATTCCCACGCCTCCTGTGTGCCGATTGGCTCCGGGCGACAGAAGGGGCGGGGCGACGTCCGCCTGGCGCAGCGAGCGCGGAGCGTTCGATAACTGACGGAGCTGTCTCCTTCTCATTAGCTCACGCGGACGGGCGGGCCCCGCCTCCTCCGCTTTCTCCATTGGTTCACCGAGCCCCGGCCCGCCTCTTCCGGCCGAGGTCTGTGAGCTCATTGGGAGGGAGGCGGGTTCGCTTCCGGGGCGCCCAGCGAGGGAAGAGAGAAGATGGCGGCGGCGGTGCTGTTCTTGGTGACAGGGCTGGTGGCGGCGGCTGCATCTGCGGCGCCCGGCGGGGGAGGCCCGCGAACGCTGGTGCTGCTGGAGAACATGAACCTGAAGGACACGCACTCGCTCTTCCTGCGCGGCCTGGCAGGTCCGGCGGCGGAGGGGCTCCCGGGGGCCTCCCGGCTTCCCTTCCCGGAGTGGTCGCGGCCTCCCATCACTTTCTTTTTTTTCCCCCCCCTGCAGAGCGAGGTTTTGACCTGACTTTCCGGACGGCGGACGACCCCGGCCTGTCCCTCATCAAGTACGGGGAGTTCCTCTACGACAACCTGGTGGTTTTCTCCCCCTCGGTGGAAGGTGAGGCGGACCCCCCCCTCCCCATCCCCCGAAAGTGGCTCCGGGGCTCTTCCTTTGCCTTTGGCGCCTGTGAGGGGGGAAGCGATGATGAGTGGCACAGGTGGCGAAATAAATGATAATGATGAAGATGATGATTGGTTGATACCTAGGACGCTGGCAGCAACCCGTATCAGCCATCAGTGCCAGTTTATACTGTTTGTGATTTGTGATCCATTCTTAAACGTTCAGTTGACTGAGTTTCATGTTTAATGAATAAAAGAGGAAGAAGAAGAGGAGATGATGATGATGATGATGATACTTGGTCGATACCTAGGACGCCGGCAGCAACCCGTATCAGCCATCAGTGTCAGTTTATACTGTTTGTGATCCATTCTTAAATGTTCAGTTGACTGAGTTTCATGTTTAATGAATAAAAGAGGAAGAAGAAGAGGAAGATGATGATGATGATGATGATACTTGGTCGATACCTAGGACGCCGGCAGCAACCCCGTATCAGCCATTAGTGCCAGTTTATACTGTTTGTGATCCATTCTTAAATGTTCAGTTGACTGAGTTTCATGTTTAATGAATAAAAGAGTAATAGTAATCATAGGAGAAGGGGAAGGAGGAGAAGGAGATGAAGATGAAGGTACTTGGTTGATACCTAGCACGCTGGCAGCAACCCGTATCAACCATCAGTGCCAGTTAATGCTACTTGTGATCCATTCTTAAATGTTCAGTTGACTGAGTTTCATGTTTAATGAATGAAGTATATAATAATAATCGTGATTTGCAAATGGAAGTTGAGATTGTGGAGGAAGAAATCAATCGTCTTCTTGTGCCATGTTCCATCATTGGATGTTGGCGATCCTATTTTTGTCAACAGCCGCATGAAAAAATGCGGCTGAGTTTTGTCCAAACCAGAAAAAAAGCCTCTGCCAATCAGGCAACTCAGCTGGGATCGTCAGAGCCTTTTGAAAGCATTTTTTTTACAACCTCTTCACCAAAGAGGTTGTAGAAAAAATGGTTTTAAAAGTAAAAAAAAATAAAAATGGCCACGCCCACCCAGTCACACTACCCCCCACCACCACCAAGCCATGCCTACAGAACCGGTAGTAACTAATTTTAGATTTCACCACTGCAATAACAGGACCAGTAATAGTAATAATACCAGTAACCAGATAATAATACATGACGGCAGAGCTGAGAGCGCCCACTGAAGCACAAGAGTTGCTTGTTCCTTTGTCACGGCTTCACTCTTGTTCGCTTGCACACTTGCTAGCTGGTATACTGTATTACTGTAAACATTTTGACCTTGTGACAAGAAAATTAACCCGGTCATTGTGTTTCAGATTTTGGAGGCAACATCAACGTGGAAACCATTGCTGCTTTCATTGATGGGGGTGGAAACGTCCTTGTGGCTGCCAGTTCAGATATCGGTCAGTGAAACAGGCTCAGCGGAGCAGATTTGTCTTCAACTTAAAAAGAGAATTTTTTCCCCCTTTATTCTTTTTTATTATTTCAATCAAGGCAGGCCAAAGCCAAACAACAAAAGTCCATCCTACTTAAGGCCTGGGAGAACATCCGGGTTTTAAGCAGCTTGTGGAAAGTAAAAGCTTTATATTGCTGGGGAAAAGTAACCGATTGTTATTCATCCCTTTTGTTTTGTAGCTATTGTCAGGGACAGGCAGTTACACTTGCTTCTGGGCCATGTAGTTCTAGAAGTCTGCCTCTTTTTATAAAATACCGTATTTTTTTGAGTTTAAGATGCAACTTTTTCCCTCCTAAAAGGGGGTGAAAATTTAGGTGCGTCTTATACACCGGATGTAGCCCCGCCCACCCACTGGCCCCCACCCTTTGGCCCCTGCCTCCCAGCAGTTTAACTCCTTGCAGCAAGCAGCAAGAAGGAACAGCTCCTTTCAGCTTCAGCACGGCCTAATTAGCACAAGTTGATTGGATCGGCCTCCCGACTCTCAGCTGTTTTGCATGGGCCTCTGCTGCTTCCTGCAAGGAGGGAAATTGCTGAGAGCAGATGATTTTTTTTTTTTTTTCCTTGTGCTAATCAAGCCACGCTGAAAACGAAAATGAAAGTAAAGAAGGCTATTTGCTGTTTGCTGCAAGGAGGCAAAATTGCTGGGAGGCAGAGGCGGATTTCTTTTTCATGTTTTCCTCACCAAAAAAGATAGGTGCGTTTTATAATCCGGAGCGTTTTATACTCCGAAAAGTACGGTGAGAATAATAAAAAATGAAAGACGAGGACTCTTTGGTGCCTTCTGACGGTACAGATGGATTTATTGTAAGGGTCTCCCCAGCATATTAGAAACCCGCTTAGGTGGTAGATAAGAGGAGAAGGCGCTCCCTTTTTAGTACAAAGGAACAAACGGGCTTCTTAATCGTCCTTAGGTGATCCCATTCGAGAATTGGGAAGCGAATGCGGGATAGAATTTGACGAGGAAAAGACAGGTGTGATTGACCATCACAACTACGACATCTCTGACCCAGGGCAGGTAAGCAGGACAAGAGCACAAGGGGGTCCAATTGGCTGCTGCTGCCCTTACGATCCACCTGCTCCCAAGGATGACTATCGAGTCAAAAACCTGCTAAGGAAAACTCAGCAGTCGTCTCTTTCTTTTCCTCTGCAGCACACCCTGATCGTCGCAGACTCTGAGAATCTCCTGAAGGCTCCCACGATTGTGGGGAAGAAGCCCCACAACCCCATTCTTTTCAGGGGAGTCGGGTAAGTCCTGTGCCCACCCAGCAGGAGACACACACACACACACACACACACACACACACACACACACACACACACCTCTACCGCTTGCCCACTTCCACTCGTGAACCCTTTTCTTCTCAGGATGGTGGCTGATCCTGACAACCCTTTGGTCCTTGACATTCTCACCGGCTCCTCAACTTCGTATTCATTCTTTCCTGACAAAGCTATCACTCAGGTATGTGGGACTTTGTGCTTCACAATCCATTGGAAAGAGTTGGGGGGGGGGTTGGGTTCCCCTGTTCCCGCTCCTTTTTTAACTGCACTTTTGCGGTGCCTGCTGAGCCTCCTTCGGAATGGCTAGCTTTTGAGGCTTCTCTTATGATGCTACCCACCCCCTTCCAGTTTCCACTTCTGATCTGCACCATTGTTGTCAGTGGTTGGTGGTTGGGCAACCCTTTCTCCTTCCGGAAAGACTTTAAGACGACCTCGTGGTTTGAATCCATATTCTGGGTGTTCTGATCCAGCTTCCCAAACACGACAAACCCTCTGTAGTTGAAGCAATGATTCCTTTATGAGGAGCACCAGCAGCCTCGGCAAAAGGTTTCTCTCTCAACGCAGGCTAACAAGTCTGTCCAGAAGGGAGATGAATAGTTGCCTGCCACATCTATTCATCTCCGCCCCCTGCCTTTTATCCCCAGAGCTAGGATGGGGCTTCATTAGTAGCAGTGGCTCTTCCATCCCAAGGACCGGCCCATTGATTTCCACTGCTCTCCTCTCCTCTGCCTTCTGCACATCAGGCACTGGACCCAGCTGTTCCTCCTCCTCCTCATCAGCCACCTCCAGACCTGGTGGCTGTTGAATCTCCATCTGAGACAGTCCAGGCTCCCCCTCTGTCTCTCTCTCTCTCTCTCTCTGCCATCTCCATTCCCTCTTCCTCCTCGGAGCTCTCAGGTTGCCCTGATGCTAACCCTGAGTCCCACGCCTCCTCCTCCTCCCCTGATCCAGCTGCTTGAGGGGCCGGTGGCCGACAGGCCACAACCCTGGGTTATCCTTCTCTTGTCAGGAAACCCAAGGTTGTGGCTTGTCGGCCGCCGGCCCCTCAAGCAGCTGGATACATGTGTTTGTACCTGTATCTGTACACAACTTAAGTCGGCTTCTTTTTTTTTTTTTTAACTGTACTAAAAAACAAGGATGCAATTAAGAATGTTCAAATAAATAAATATATATATATATGTATATTAATTTGATTTATATGCCACCCTTCTCCGGAGACTCAGGGCGGCTTACGATGCGTTAAGCAATAGCCTTCATACTTTTGTATATTTATACAAAGTCAGCTTATTGCCCCCACAAAGTGGGTCCTCATTTCACCTACCTTAGAAAGGATGGAAGGCTGAGTCAACCTTGAGCCTTGGCGAGATTCGAACCTGCAGTAATTGCAGGCAGCTGGCAGCTTAATAACAGGGTGCCTTAGACCACTGTACTACCAAGGCTATTTTATCCTTTATTTGTTATTTATTGCTTTGTCAAACCATGTACGAAGCTAGCAGGTGTAAAATATTTTTCTTTTTTTAATTTATTTGATTTATATGCCGCCCTTCTCCGGAGACTCAGGGCGGCTTACAATGCGTTAAGCAATAGCCTTCATCCTTTTGTATATTTTATACAAAGTCAGCTTATTGCCCCCACAAACTGGGTCCTCAATTTACCCACCTTAGAAAGGATGGAAGGCTGAGTCAACCTTGAGCCTTGGCGAGATTCGAACTTGCAGTCATTGCAGGCAGCTGAATGTTAATAACAGGCTATTAGTCTGCTGCGCCACCAGGCTATATTAGAAGAATATTGTAAAAAAAAAAAATTTTTCTCTCTCTCTCCAGTACCCTCATGCTGTCGGAAAGAACACCCTCCTGATCGCCGGCTTGCAGGCGCGGAATAATGCCCGCGTGGTCTTCAGCGGCTCCCTGGATTTCTTCAGCGACGCCTTTTTCACATCGTCGGTGCAGAAGGCGGCAGCAGGCTCTCAAAGGCAGGTGGCTCTTATTGTCAGCTTGGCTCCAAAACCGGGATGTGGGAAGGGGGCAGGAAGGCAGGGTTGGTTTCGCACAGTTGACTCTCCAAAAAAGAGGCTCTTCAGCATCCCTCTCAAAAACAAAAACATTGTCACCTTATTCAGGTAGTCCTCGACTTACAACACTTAGTGACCGCTCGAAGTTAAAACGACACTGAAAAAAGTGACTTTATGGCCACTTTTCTCACTCCCTGACCCCCTGGTCCCCTGATTTACATTCGGATGCTTGACAACGGATTCGCATTTATGACGGGCTGCAACGCCCTGGGTCATGTGATCCCCTTTTTGGGACCTTCTGACAAGCAAAGTCACTTAACCGTCCTGTTAACTAATTGAAGGACTGCACTGATTCACTTAACAAAAGCGGCAAGGAAAGTCGTAAAATGGGGGAAAAAACACACTTAACAAATTTCTCACTTAGCAATATAACTTTTGGGCTCCATTGTGGTTGTAAACTGAGAACTACCCGTATTCTGAGAAAATCAGCAGGTAGCAATTTAAAAGAGGGGCGCGGTGGCTCAGTGGCTAAGACGCTGAGCTTGCCGATCGAAAGGTTGGCAGTTCAGCAGTTCGAATCGGGAACTAGAGTCGGGGAACGACTAGCACATATGTGCGAGGGGAGCCTTTACCTTTTTAGCAATTTAAAAATCGCAGTAAGAAGGATACAAAACAGTTTCAGCCAATTCCTGGTACTTACAAGAGCCGCGGTGGCACAGTGGTTAGAAATACAGTACTGCAGGCTACTTCTGCTGACTGCCGGCTGAGTGCAATTTGGTAGTTCGAATCTCACCAGGCTGAAGGTTGACTCAGCCTTCCATCCTTCCAAGGTCGGTACAATGAGGACCCAAATTGTTGGGGGCAATAGGCTGACTCTATAAACCGCTTAGAGGGGGCTTGAAAGCACTGTGAAGTGGTAAAGGTAAAAGTTCCCCTGCACATGTGTGCTAGTCGTTCCCAACTCTAGGGGGCGGTGCTCATCTCCGTTTCTAAGCCGAAGAGCCAGCGCTGTCCGAAGACATCTCCATGGTCATGTGGCTGGCATGACTCAACGCCAAAGGTGCACGGAACGCTGTTACCTTCCCATCAAAGGTGGTCCCTATTTTTCTACTTGCGTTTTTTACCTGCTTTCGAACTGCTAGGTTGGCAGAAGCTGGGGCAAGTCACGGGAGCTCACCCCGTTACGCGGCACTAAGGATTCGAACCGCTGAACTGCCGACCTTTCGATCGACAAGCTCAGCGTTTTAGCCACTGAGCCACCACATCCCATGCATATATATATATATAAGCGCTATTGCTATATAAATTTGATGGTTTGAGCACCCTTTGACATAAATCCGAGGTGCCCTCCGAGAAGGGTCTTCCCTGCAGTTGCTGCCTGAGATGCAGCCCAGCGTCTTTCCACCAACCTCCTTCTCCGGCTGGATGCTCCCATGGGCCAGGCAGGCAAGCAGAGCCAGCACAATGAGTGATTGGTTGGCGGAGGAAATGAGCTCCCGACATTGGGTTAAGCAGACTGAAGAACCTGACTTGTCTCCTTTAGGTACCCCCAAACGGGGAATTACGAGCTGGCCATGGCCTTGGCCCGCTGGGTCTTCAAGGAGGAAGGGGTGCTGCGTGTGGGAGAGGTGGCTCACCATCGGGTGGGCGAGAAGTCGCCTCCAAGCGCCTACACCGTCACCGACTTGGTGGTAAGAGCTTAGCATCTTCCCTCTAGCGCAAAACCTCAGGAGTTCCTGGCGCTGGTTTGTTGTTTTTTTCACATGGCGCTGGGTCCCTGTGTTGCAGGAATACAGCGTCGTCATAGAAAAGCTCTCCGACGGGAAGTGGGTTCCCTTTGATGGCGACGATATTCAGCTGGAGTTTGTCCGCATCGATCCCTTTGTCAGGACCTTCCTCAAGAAAAACGGTGAGGCGGCTTTCGCTTAACGCTAACTTGATCTTTGACATGCAGAGCAGGGGTGAAATGCTACCAGGCCGAACCGGTAGCGATGGCGGCAGGTGGTTCGGAGAACCGGTAGCGGCAGCAGCACCGCTCATCATTACTTCCTGGTTAAAACCCTTTTTTTACCCTCTGCGTATGCAAAGAGGGCCCAAGCCCCCAAGTGCGCACTTCCGAACCGGTAAGGAAGGTAAGTAGATTTCACCCCTGATGCAAAGATGCCAGTTCTTTGTGCCGAGTTAGAAACTCATCCACACACTGTCCATTAAAAACAAGATCAATATCTTATTTTAAAAAAGCTGGATACGTGCAGATCCCTGATTGGCTGGCATTTGGAGGGATGAGGGGCTGGAAGCTCCTTGCCCCCTGCCAACCATGAGCAGCTTTTGTTGTTGATCAGGGATGTCTGCCTCACAAAACTTTTTTTGCTTTTAAAAACAAACTTTATTAAACATATAAAAGTAAAATACTATACCATATATATACAAAATACATATATATTAATACTAACTCCCTTGGGAGTTGGGCGGCATAGAAATGCGATAAATTAAATTAAACAACATTACATTAAAATAAAAAAGTGACTTTGGTCACACGTCCGTTATCTTATTAACGGTGCGTATTTGTTAATTATTGTTATCGTACAGAATTTTACATTTACTCTCATTTCTACGAGTTATCCAATCATACCACCTATTCCACGCTATATAATATTTTGAGTCTACCTTGTCCTTCATTTCAAACGTTAATTTATCCATTTCCGTGCAATTATAGTTTTTTTGGATTATCAATTGATCTGTTGGCAGTTGATCAGTTTTCCAATATTGAGCGCGCGCCAATCTGGGTGCAGTGACTGTGTGTAATATTAAATACTTTATTTCTTTCTTATAGTTTTCTTTAATCATCCCTAGTAGGAAAATCTCTGGTTTGAGTTCTATTTTTCCCGATGTTATTTCTATTAGCCAAATTCTTATTTTTTCCCAATACTTCCTAATTCTTGGGCAAAGCCACCAGACGTGAAAGAAAGTGCCCAGTGCCTGCTTGCACTTCCAGCAAATTGGACTTAAATTTGAATACATTTTTGCTGATCTCGAAGGGGTTGCCTCACAAAACTTAAAGCAGTGGCCAGGAGACCAAACTCACGATGCCCTGTCAAAGCTTGTAGACCTGCAGCAGGCTGGGGAAGGGTCCGAGAAGTTTTCCGGCCTCTGAATTGCTCTGATGCCAGAAATGCGCTTTGGCTTCCAGGCGGAAAGTACAGCGTCCAATTCAAGCTCCCAGATGTTTACGGGGTATTCCAGTTCAAGGTGGACTACAACCGTCTTGGCTACACGCACCTCTACTCTTCCACACAGGTAATTCTTTTCCTTCCCCTTCGAGCAGACACTTCAGCGGCTTCGGAAATGAGGCTGCCACTCAAAACGATTGGCTGGGCAGAGTTTCCACGGGGCACGTACAAGGGCGCACAACTAACACCCAGATAAGTTCACTTGCCCTAAATATAGCAGCCGACTTTTCTGTGGAGCTTCGATGTCTTCCTCGCTCATCTGAACCGTTTGTAGGCTGAAGTAGCTGAGTGAGAATCCCTGTACTCTCTACGTCTGCTCAGGAACTAAGATAGGTGGAGGAGGCCTCCCTCCTCTCTCCTGTTGTGGCCTGCCAGCGGAGCTGGGAGTAGATTCGGACAGTGAGGAGGTTGGGGAGGAACATGAGGCAGTCCTGGAGTCTGGGGAAGGTTCTGATGAGGGCTCTGCGTCGGAGGCAGAGAGGGGGCCACGGCCATATGATAGTTATCAGCTGCCTTCGGAGTCGGACATCAGTGAGGCAGACGAACACCTGGAGCCTGTTCCCAGTATGCGCATGCGCAGAGCTGCCAGACAAAGGAAACAGCTAAAGGACAAGGGTCGACTCAGGAGTAAAGCCACAGGTGGATGGTGAATGGCCCCTCCCAGAGGGAATATAAGAGGAGTGAAAGGGGAGTGGAGTTTGCAGGAGACAATTAGTTCATTCCTGCATTCTTGCCAGTGAAAGATATCGGCCTGGCAGCTCTCCAAGCCAGATAAGGTCTGTGACTGTCAATTCTCCCTTGAAAGACTTTGCTGAAGGTGAATGAGAGGAATTCACAGTAACTTAATAAAAAGGGGGTTCCCTTGTCGGGACAAGGGAACCCGTAGGTCAGAACATCTCCAGATGGATTTGGGGGCTGCCTGTAGGAGGGCTGAGAGGGACAGAGTGCTGAATTACAGATGTGCTGGTCTTTGTGGCCCAGCTGGAGCCTTTCGGGGAATCTGTCTTGGAGATTTGCTAGCAGAGTGACAGTTGCCAAGTTAGGCGCATCGTTTATAGTTGTCGGAAACAAAGACTACATGCACAGAAGCCACGCTGCTGCTCTTGCTCACTTGGACCCCTGAAATTCACCGCCTTCCAGGTGGAGTCACGAAAAGTCCATTCCCAGCCTTGCCTTGGTACTAATTCCTTATTCCCCGTGTGGCCAGGTGTCCGTCCGCCCTCTGCAGCACACGCAGTACGAGCGCTTCATCCCTTCCGCTTATCCGTACTACGCCAGCGCCTTCTCGATGATGGTGGGCCTGTTCTTGTTCAGCATCGTATTCCTACACATGAAGGAGAAGGAGAAATCCGACTGAGACTCGACCAGAGCGGCCCGGGATTCCCGTCGGAGGTCCTGGCACCCTCGGAGCGCCACCGAATCGCCGAGTCCAAATTTGGGGGGACATGTTTCTGGACCGAGAATAGGCCAGAAGGGGGGAGAAGAGGGGCTTCTCCTTCCGTTACGTGGACAAGCCTGGAAGCCTAAAAAAAAAACAAACCCCGAAATCCAGAGGGACTGTCCTCCCTCTGCTTCCATGCCGTTGTTTCTCTTCCACCTTTGTTCCATTTTTGCGAAATAAAATGGCGCCATTCCGTCCCCTTTCCCGGGACTGTTTCTGGTTAATGTCAGAGAAGCGGGACAGTTTCGGCCTTTTTGGTCACCTCGGTTGCTTCCTCATCTACAGCAGCTGGGCAGCGTTTTAAGGAACGTCTTTTTATAGGGATCCGATCAAAACCATTGTTTAACGACACGGATGACCCGAAGGTTTGTAAGAATAGGGAAATGAAGCAGAACCAGTGGTGAAATCCAATTTTTTTTACTACCGGTTCTGTGGGTGTGGCTTGGGGGTATGGTGTGGTTTGGTGGGTGTGGCTTGGGCATGGCAGGGGAAGGATACTGCAAAATCTCCATTCCCTCCCCACTCCTGGGGCCAGCCAGAGGTGGTATTTGCCGGTTGTCTGAACTACTCAAAATTTCCGTTACCGGTTCTCCGAACTGCTCAAAAATTCCGCTACCAGTTCTCCAGAACCTGCTGGATTTCACCCTTGAGCAGAACCATTCTGAAAAATCTCCATTCTGAGTTGCTTGAAGGGCAGAAACTCTCCCTGAAAAACTGCCCCTCCAGATGGTCCTCCTCGAGTAAAGACGAAGAATTGGGCATTTCGGTTGCTAAGCAACGCGGTCATAAACCGCCATATCAGATGACCACATCGCTCAGTGACGGCAATCCCATTAGCCAAGGGGGAATCCGCCTGCAGGAAATCCAAGGAAGCTCGCAAGCAGGCTGGCCGTCATTGTAAGTGACCGCTGCTGGGTTCCCGTTGAACAGGGTACGTTGGCTCCCTTTAAGGTGGCCTAATCCGACATCCTCATTTATGCTGGTTCAAACCTGGATTCTTTATTCCAATATCGATATAATCTGAGGCCTTGACAAAAAGTTGCTTTTATGGCTGCAATCCCAAATGTTACCACAGGGAGGCAGCGTTTCCTCTAATACTGTATTTTAACTCTGTTTAAAGGGGTTTTAACAGTAACCAGAGTCGGAAGGGACCTTGGAGGTCATCCGGTCCAACCCCTGGCTCATGCAGGAGACCTGTACTAGGGATTCGAACTGCCGAGCTGTCGACCTTTCTGATTTGACAAGCTTCAGTGTCAGCTGATTTCCTTTTGTGTCTGTTTTGCAGCACCCACTCAGGAAATTTCTCCTTAGTTCTAGGGTGAATCTCTCCTTGGTTCATTTCCATCCTTTGCTGCTTCTCCTGCCTTCGGGTGCTTTGGAAAATAGGTTGACCTATTGTGCCCCTTCTTTGGGGCAGCCCCTCAAATATCGGAATGCTGCTATCATATCAAATCTAGTCCTGCTTTGACCACAAGAGGGCCCTGTTTTCCGCCCCTTGGCGTTAGCTTTGAAGCCGTCATAGGCATTTTCAACTCGTTTTTAAGGATTTTTAAGGTTTCCCTCTTCTGGGCCTCCTTTTACCCTGATAATTCTAATAAGTTACGCTACTAATAATAAAGATGATGAATACTAACCTTACAATGCCTTTAAAAAGATGTATGGGTAGTCCTCGACTTATGACCACAATTGATCCCAACGTTTCTGTTGTTAAATGAGACAGATTAAGTGAATTTTCCCCTGTTTTACGACCTTTCTTGCCAAGGTTGTTAACTGAATCAGTGCACTTGGTTAAGTTAGTAACCCAGGTGTTAAGTGAATCTAGCTTTCCCCTCGACTGTTGTCAGGTCGCAAAAGGGGATCACCTGTCCCCAGGACCAGTGGTGAAATCCTTTTTCTTTTTTACTACCGGTTCTGTGGGCGTGGCTTGGTGGGCGTGGCAGGGGAAGGATACTTCAAAATCTCCATTCCCACCCTACTCCAGGAGAGCGATACTGCAAAATCCCCATTCCCTCCCCACTCCTGGGGAAAGGATATTGCAAAATCTCCATTCCCACCTTATTCTGGGGCCAGCCAGAGGTGGCATTTGCCCGTTCTCCGAACGACTCAAAATTTCCGCTACCGGTTTGTCAGAACCTGCTGGATTTCATCCCTGCCCAGGACGCTGTAACCGTCATAAATATGCTCCAGTTCCCAAGCATCCGAATATTGATCATGCAATTCTGGAACTGCTGCAAAAGGTCATAAGTGTGAAAAATGGTCATAAGTCACTTTTTACACTCCTATTGTAACTGGTCACTAAATTGTAGGAAGCCTGTTATTTCTTTTTGTGGCTGCTAAACGTAGTTTGACCACAGGAGGGCACTGTTTTGTGTCCCTTAGCATTGGCACCGAAGCCATCATAAGACCTTATTTAACTCGGTTTAAGGCTTTTGAAGCTGGTTTCATCCTCCTGTGCCTGTTCCGCAGCGCCTGGGATTCCAGTTGCCCTTTTAATTTTAATAATAAAGCTATTGGCCTTGGAAGCCATATTAGGCCGGAAGCTTCCATGCTGCCGCCACCTCATGTGTGGGAAAGTAAGAGTGGGAATTTATTTATTTATTTTTTCTGTAGACATAATAGCATTCTTCCTGTCGGTCAAGGTCAGGCCGATCCTGCATCTGGAAAAGGAGCGGTCGGAGTGATGTCTCGAGATGGGACGGCTGGTGATTGGAGCACGTGATCGACAGAGGAGTGAGGCGATGGTTTTGGCGGGGTTTGATTTACTGAGGGAAAACCTCAGATTCGGGTTTTCCCAGATGTGCCAGTTTACCTATTCTAGTCAGTAGAACTTTGAAAAATGCTCGCTTCAGAGTTTTTACTTGGGAGTTTTTTCTGGAACGTCGACAAAAGCATTTAATAGTAAAGACACAGTAAAAATCTTAACATGCCACTAAAGCAGTGTTTCTCAACCTTGGTAGCTTGAAGATGGGTGGACTTCAACTCCCAGAATCCCCCAGCCAGCAGCGCTGGCTGGGGGATTCTGGGAGTTGAAGTCCACCCATCTTCAAGCTTCCAAGATTGAGAAACACTGCACTAAAGGGTTTTATTTCTTTTTGTGGCTGCTAAACCTGCTTTGACCAAAAGAGGGCACTGTTTTCTGTCCCTTACGTTAGCATTGAACCATCATAGGCCTTTTTTAACTTGGTTTGAGGCTTTTGAAGCTGGTTTCCTTCTTCTGTGCCTGTTCAACAATACCTGGGACTCCAATTGCCCTTTTAATAATAATGGTACAGAATAATAACCTTAACAATCATTTAAAAATGCTATTTCATTTTGGTGGCTGCTGAACCTATTTTGACCACAGAGGGGGCACAGTTTCCTGTCCCTTAACAATTAGGTTAACAGTTAACTCGATTAAAATTAGGTTTAACTTGGTTAAAAAGGCCTATGATGGCTTCAACGCTAATTGGAGGCCGTTTGGAGCCTGTTTCCTTTTTCTGTGCCTGTTCAGCAGCCCCTGGACCTCCGGGTCTCCCTTTTAATTTTGATATAACACAGCTTTAAATGATAAAGTTGCCGAATAATAAACTTTAAAAGATACCATTAAAAAAAGTTTATTTTTATATATATAAATATTTTAATTTTATTTTTTAATAAATATTTTATTTTGTGTATGATATATCTATATATCTATTATATCTATCTCTATCTCCATATATCTATATATCTATATCTATCTATTATATCTATATCTATCTATATCTCTTATATATCAATGGTCTATATCATCTATCTATCCATCCATCTCTATCTTCTATCTATCTTCTATCCATCCATCCATCCATCCATCTCTATCTTCTATCTATTTATCTATCTATCTATCATCTATCTATCTATCCATCCATCTCTATCTTGTATCTATCTATCTTCTATCCATCCATTCATCTCTATCTTGTATCTATTTATCTATCTATATCTATCCATCCATCTCTATCTTGTATCTATCTATCTTCTATCCATCCATCCATCTCTATCTTGTATCTATTTATCTATCTATCTATATCATCTATCTATCCACCCATCTCTATCTTGTATCTATCTATCTATCTATCTATCTATCTATCTATCTATCCATCCATCTCTATCTTGTATCTATCTATCTATCTATCTATCATCTATCTATCCACCCATCTCTATCTTCTATCTATTTATCTATCTATCTATCATCTATCTATATCATCTATCTATCCATCCATCTCTATTTTCTATCTATCATCTATCCATCCATCCATCCATCTATCCATCTCTATCTTCTATCTATCATCTATCTATCCATCCATCCATCCATCTCTATCTATCTGTCTGTCTGTCTGTCTGCCTGTCAAAAAGTTTATTTCTCTATGTGTGTGTTGAGGCGTGTCGTTCCCCGACGTGACCTTTAGAGGGCGGTGGTTTCTCTCCCCCCCCCCCCACCCCTACCCCTCGCTCCGAGGGGCGAGGCTCCTTTCTTTTTCCCCCACTTTCTTGCGCATGCGCCGGGCGCGCGACCTTTTGCGACAGCCGTCCGGCGCTTCAGACACGGGGTGGGGGGGGGCTTTCCGGCGGAGCGGAGCGCTGCGCGGGTGAGGCGGCGGCGGCGGCGGCGGCGATGCTGCTGACGGTGTTCTGCCTGCGGCGGGACCGCTCCGAGCTGACCTTCTCGCTGCAGGTGGACGCCGACTTCGAGCTCCAGAACTTCCGAGCCCTCTGCGCGCTCGAGTCCGGCATCCCCGCCTCTCAGAGCCAGGTCGGTGCGCGCCCGCCCCCCCCCCGCCCGACGCCTCTGCAGCCCCCGCCGTGGGTGGGGGGGGCGTCTTTTCCCCCACCCCCACCCAAGGAGGCTCCCCGCCCTTCCCCCCTCCCTCCCCCCCTCCCTCCGCGCTGCGCTGCGCCCCCTCCGCCCCGCAGGTGGGCAGGGGTCCCGACGCCCTCGGATACTGGGAGGGGGGAGGTGTTTTTTTGGGGGGGGTTGGTCTTCCCCCCCCACAGGGGTCCCGATGCCCTCGGGTATTGGGGAGGGGCGCTTATGTGGGGTGGGTGGTCTCCTTTTTAAAGCTGGGCAGGGGTCCCGATGTCCCCGTAGGGCGGGGGGAGGTGCTTTTTTGGGGGGGGGCTGGTCTCTCCCATTAACTGGGCAAGGGGTCGCGATGCCCTCGGATGGTGTGTGTGTGGGGGGGTGCTTATGTGGGGCGGGTGGTCTCTCCTTTACAGCTGGGCAGGGGTCCCAATGCCATAGGATGGTGTGTTTGGGGGCGCTTATGTGGGGTGGGTGGTCTCCTCTTTAAAGCTTGGCAGGGGCTCCAGCTGCCCTCAGATACTGAATGGGGGGCGCTTTATGGGGAGGGAGGTCTCCCCTTTACAGCTGGGCAGGGGTCCCGAAGCCCTAGGGTGGCGTTGGGGGGACGCTTCGTGGGGAGGGAGGTCTTCCGCTTGCAGCTGGGCAGGGGTCCCGATGCCCTAGGATGGCGTGGTGGGGGCGCTTTGTGGGGCTGGTGGTCTTCTCTTTACAACTGGGCAGGGGTCCCGATGCCCTCGGATGGTGTGGGGGGACGCTTTGTGGAGAGGGAGGTCTCCCCCTTGCTGGTCTCCCCACGCAGGTGGGCATTGGCTCTAGATGCCCTTGGATGGGGGGGAAGGCGCTTTGTGGGGTGGGTGGTCTTTTTACAGCTGGGTAGGGGCTCCAGATGCCCTGGGATATGGGGGGGCGCTTTGTGGGGCGGGAGGTCTCCTCTTTGCAGCTGGGCAGGGGTCCCGATGACTAGGGTGGCTGGTCTCCCCCCGCAGGTGGGCAGGGGTCCTGATGCCCTCAGATGGCATGGTTGGGGAGGTTGCTTTATGGGGTGGCTGGTCTCCCCCTTGCAGCTGGGCAGGGGCTCCGGATGCCCTCCAGTTGGGGAGTGGGGGGTAGCGTTGCTTTTGGGGACAGTTGCCCCGGGCCTTCTGGCAGTGGGGGGGAGGGGTGTCTGTAGCAAGGAGCTCTCTGGCTGCGGAACCAGCTGGCCGGCTGCCAGAGTTGAGAGTCCAACTCTGCGAATGGCGGCTGCCCGTTCACTACCTGGTCATCTATTTTGGGACTGTGGTTCATCTGCCTTGGCCCTCCTGCCCCATCTCCTCTGAGGGTGCCCAGAGACTGCTCGGTCTGCAGGGGTCCGATCTGGGTCGGTCACCGGGACCAGAGGTGGTTTTCAGATTCCTGGATCCCTCAGAATGGATTCCAGCACGAAAGCTCGAAAGACAACACCTCTGGACCGGTGGACCAACCCAGATTGGATCCCGCAACATTGCCCTGGGACCACGTGGATTCGCCTTAATTCGTGGCTGCTTTGTCTGTACCCAGACTGGATGCTGCCCGCCTAGTTTCCTGGCTTGCAGAAGGCAGGCGGGCTGGTTTGAACTAGGAGGCCCTTCCGATGCGTTCCCGGTTCTTTCCATGGCCGGAATCTTTCTATCTGCCTTCTGTAGATCCCTTCCACGTGGGCAAAGCTTTGCAGGTGCCCCCTGCAGCCACTTTTGGCACAGGCCAGGTGGCCCCAGAGCCTCTCCTGACATTCTGATCCCTCCCTCGGGAGCGGTGGATCCGGCTCCTGACTCAACCGGCCAGCCCGCAATCCTTTGTACCTGTCGGTCGGCTTGCAGGCACCTGCGGGTGGATCTGAGTTGCATTCTTCCGCTGTCGTCTTGCACCCCGATGGCACAGCCGCGGAGCAGGCGGTGGCATTTCCCGTGGCTCTTTCAGGCAGTGCTTTCTACCAGATCCTCGCAGTGTCTCTTGGAGCCCCAGCGGGATCCGCTTCCTGGCACTGTCAGGAAGCGTTTCTGGGAATAGTTAGATTACCAAGACAGGAGACCAGGGAGGGCAGGAGACGGTTAGATTGGACCGCGAGATCATGAATCGTTGGGGTCTTGGAGCTGCGAAATAGGTTTTTTCAGTCGTTCGAAGCCACAGCTTGACGCAGGCCTGAGGCATGCTTTGGAAAATATCTCTCCAGGAAGGGGTCACGTCCGGGATGGGCTCGCTGAGAGGAAACGGCTGTCGCTTCAGCCCAGTTTGGTTGGGCTACTTTTGTTCGGTCGCTTGCAGAGGTGGGTGGCTTGAGTGCTCCCGGCTGGGCTGCCTTCCTTTTTAGGCTCGATAGCCCCGGGGTCTGAGGCTGGCCTGACCCTGGTTGACCCAGCAGGGCATCTCCTTGGAGTCCGCTTCGTTTTGAACGTCTGACTGCCTCTTCCTCTCAGATCATCTTTGCCGAGCAGCCGCTCACCGACAATCACCGGTCGTTGGCGTCTTATGGCCTGAAGGACGGAGATGTGGTGATCCTGCAGCAAGTGGAGAATGGGCAGGCACAGTCCTCGGCCCCCTATTCTGGTAAGAGACCCCCTCCTCCTCCTCGTGAGTTCCCCCTCTTTGGCCTGACCGGCCTCGGACTCAGGTCCTGTGCTTTCGGTCTGTTTAAATTGCCCGTTATAAATGCCCACGACATTGATAGCTCCTCAGGTCACATAAGGGGTCACATTTTGGAAAGCGGGGCAGATTTCCCCCCCCCTCCCCGGAATTTAAGGAAGCTCCCCAAATTGTTGATCCTCGAGGGGGTGATTTCCTCTGGAGTTCTGTGCTGAAACGCAGGAATAGCGTTCACGAACGCAGGAGCAGAACGCAAGGCACACTCAGAGTCATCATAAATCGACATTTTGTGGGCTGTCGCACCGTTTCCTCCCCCGGTTTTCTTCCTTGAACGGCCCCGGATGCCTTCATCCTGTCTTGGCTGCTCGGCTCATCAACCGGGCAGTCTCTGGAGGGCACAGTGGGGGGGTTGGCAGGGGTGAAATCCAGCAGGTTCTGGAGAACCAGTAGCGGAAATTTTGAACAGTTTGGAGAACTGGCAAATACCACCTCTGGCTGGCCCCAGAGTGGGGTGGGAATGGAGATTTTGCACTATCCTTCCCCCAGGAGCGGGGAGGGAATGGAGATTTTGCAGTATCCTTCCCCTGCCATGCTCACCACGCCCACCAAGCCACACCCACAGAACCAGTAGTAAAAAAAAATTGGATTTCACCACTGGGGGTGGGTCATGTATTCCAAAATCTGAAGAGCTGATGCAGTGTCAGAGAAAGGGAGGGTCGTCTCACCAAACCGGTCCATTTCAAGCCCAGTGTGGATACAGGTGTTCCCGTTTCAGAATCTATTTGCAAACCCCACCTCTTCTCCACAAAGCCAGAACACCCAGGTGGAGGCTGATCAGGTATTGTCTTCTTTTCCCCTCCCATCGCAAATAGGGATGCCCAGGATAGACTTCAGCAGCATCGCCGTGCCGGGGACGTCCACCCAGTTCTCCCAGTCTCTACAGCTGCCACCCCCAGCCCCGACCCCACAGGCCCCGGCCGTCGCCCCGATCCCTCCGGCCCCAGCCGTCGCCCCGGCCCCTCCCGACCCACCCTCCATCCCGCAAGGCCTGGACAACCCGGCTCTTTTGCGAGCCATGCTGCTGGCCAACCCCCATGAGCTCTCCTTGCTGAAGGAACGCAACCCCCCTCTGGCCGAGGCGCTGCTCAGCGGAGACCTGGGTGAGTCCTGCCGTTGGGAGGGAAGAACCTCTCAGGGTGGGTGGAGGAGGAATGGGGCAGGGGGAGGGCCAGTGATACCACTTTGCCCTATGACAGTGTTGGCGAATCTTTTCGGGGCCGAAAAGGGAGCGCGTGGGAGGGCCGGAAACCAGAAAAGCAGCTCCCTGACGTGCAGGAGCGCTCAACTTTTGGTTTCCGGCGTGCACATGCGCGCCAGTCACCTGGACTTCCGGTTTCTGGCACCCATGTGCGTGCGAAGAGCAACTGGTCTACGCGCGCATGGGAGCGCGGGAACTAGAAGCTCAGCTTCCCGTCGTGCGCATGCACGCCAGTCACCTCGTCTTCCAGTTTCCGGCGCTCCCACACGCGTGAAGACCAGCTGGCCAGAGTGCATCTGCGCGCCCAAACCCGGAAGAACAACAGACGACGGCTGGCGTGCGCAGAGAGATGGCTCTGCGTGCCACTTCCGGCATGCCTGCTATAGGTTCGCCATCACGGCCCTACGAATTTCAACCCCCCCCCTTCCCTCCTGTGTTTTGTGTCCTAGAGAAATTCACTCAAGTGCTGGTGGAACAGCAACAGGACCGAGCGCGCCGCGAGCAGGAGAGGATCCGTCTCTTCTCCGCTGACCCTTTTGATCTGGAAGCTCAGGCCAAGATCGAGGAGGACATTAGGTAGCGGGCCGGTAGCGGGGAGGGGTGAGCGGAAGGCTGGGTCTGGAGGGAGCCGGCCCAAGGAGGCTTCTGACCGGCTCTGCTGTTCTGCTCTCAGGCAGCAGAACATCGAAGAGAACATGACCATCGCCATGGAAGAGGCTCCCGAGAGCTTTGGCCAGGTGGTGATGCTGTACATCAATTGCAAGGTCAATGGCCATCCCGTGAAGGCCTTCGTGGACTCAGGTCTGTCTGGTTCCCCTTCCCTCCCTTTCCTGCCGGGCGTGGCTGGCCCACGCTTGTGGAGGGTCGGGGGGAGGCCAGTTGCAGGACAATGCCGGGTAGCCTTGTGCGGAGAGGACGGCAGGACTGAGATTCCCTTCGGGAAGAGGTCCCGTCCTCCCAGCGGAGGGGATCTTTTCAACTCGGCGTGCCCTCTTGGCAGGTGCCCAGATGACCATCATGAGCCAGGCGTGCGCGGAGCGGTGCAACATCATGCGATTGGTGGACCGGCGCTGGGCGGGCATCGCCCGGGGCGTGGGCACCCAGCGGATCATTGGCAGGGTGCACCTGGGTAGGTGTTTGGGGAGGAGGCAGCCGGCAACGCCATCCCTCGGCGGAGGCCGGCTTCTGGGTGGAAGGAACGCCTACCCGCCATGTTTTCTGCTGCAGCTCAGGTGCAGATCGAGGGGGATTTCCTCCCGTGCTCCTTCTCCATCCTGGAGGAGCAGCCCATGGACATGCTGCTGGGCCTGGACATGCTGAAGAGGCACCAGGTGAGCGGCGGGCATCTGAGGGCTGGCAGGAGTGGCGCTCCCTTGCAGGCAGCAGTTTCTGAGGGTCTCCTTCCTTTCCTGGCTTTGTTGTGGCCGGCCAACCGAGCTGGCAGCAGATTCAGACAGTGAGGAGGTTGGGGAGGAACATGGGCCAGTTCTGGAGTCTCGGGAAGGCTCTGATGAGGGCTCTGCATCGGAGGCAGAGAGGGGGGTCAGGGCCGTATGCCAGTTAGCAGCTGTCTTCAGAGTCAGACATCAGTGAGGCAGAGGAACAGCCGGAGCCTGTTCCCAGTGTGCACATGCGCAGAGTTGCCAGACGAAGGGAACAGCTAAAGAACAAGGGTCGACTCGGGAGTAAAGCCACAGGTGGACGATGAAGGGCCCCTCCCAGAGGGAATAAAAGAGGAGCAACAGGGGAGTGGAGTTTGCAGGAGACAATTAGTTCATTCCTGCATTCTTGCCAATGAAAGATATCGGCCTGGCCGCTCTCCAAGCCTGATAAAGGTCGGCAGTTGTGAACTATCTTGAAAGACGGTGGGAGAGGACAGACTTTTTGCTGGAGAGGAATTCACTGTCAATTCAATAAAAGGGATTTATCGGGACGAGGACCCGGCTTCGTGCTGCTGGGGAAGCCTAGGTCAGAACAGGTTTTGTGTGGGGCCCCCGGCCAGGGTCAGCCTCAGGGGCTCCTCGCCTTTCTTCCTTCCCTCCCCAGTGCTCCATCGACCTGAAGAACAACGTGCTGGTGATTGGCACCACCGGCTCTCAGACGACCTTCCTGCCTGAGGGGGAGCTTCCCGAATGTGCCAAGTTGGCTTACGGGCCGGGCCGGGACGACATGCGGCCGGATGAACTGGCAGATCAAGAGCTGGCCGAAGCCCTTCAGAAGTCTGCTGAGGAAGCAGGTAGGTGGGCTAGGAGGAAGTGGCTCATGAGGGGGAGGGGGGGCGCTTGCCGGAGAACGGAACGTTCCAGAAAGGGGGGAGTTTTGCTCTTCATGTTTGAAGGAATAAGGCCAGCGCCATCTTGCGGTGCTGAAATTTGGGGTTCTTAATCTGGAATGAGCGCCCAGGAAAAGCTGCCTCTTGAGGGTCAGGGAGGGCGCAGATCGACGGTGCTGTGACAAGAGGAAACCACGCACCCTTTTTTTGGGTGGGACCGCCACGAATTTCGACCGCCGATCAGGTTCTCCTCAGGCGCGTTGCGGGAGCTGTGACTGAACAGCTTTTAAGCAGAGGTTTTAACATTGCCCCACCTCCCGCCCCTCCCTCCCCTCGGTTATCCGAAGTAGGAAACCTTAGGTGAGTAATTTAATTCTCTTTTAACCGACGTTTCATCTCCAGTGGTCATTCCCCAGCAGCGCCTGGGAAGAAAACACTGTCTTGGCGCAGGGTTCTTTTCCCGTCGAATTCATAGGCTTTGCTTTCTCTAGGGACGCTTGTTCTGTTCGCGCGCCCCGCTTGCCGAGTCCCTGGGACCGGCTGGCTCTCTTGAGGGTGAACCCCACCCTTTTCTCTGGGTCTTGGGCGTCCTATAGGACCTGTGTGGACTCGAGAGGGGCTTGTCCCAGGACTGGGCCCTCCCCATCCCCCCCCCAGCTCCCAGAAGCAAGGGAGACGTGGCCGAACTGACAGGCCTAGAAGCAGGCGGCGGAAGTAACTTGGTCTGTTTTGGGAGTGGGGGCTTCATCCTTCACCCTCCTCTCTTTTGGCCCCGTTAAGTTACAGGTGGATTGGTGCAAGGTGGCCGCTTCAGACATCAGCGGCAGAAAGCCAAGCGAAGAAAGCGCCGCCCCTCAGCTCATCCCCTTTGTACCCTCTTGTAGCCCCTGCTTCCCTCCCCCACCCAAAAAAAATATGCTTTGTGGTCAATCAAACAGAGGCCTTGTATCCTTATATCCTGGCATTAAAGCTCTCCCTTAAAGAGATCCAGTTTAGTCTTGAGTTTTACTTAGCCTGAGCAGTCCCCGGCCCCAGTCCACCCCCCCGTCTTCCCCCTCCCCGCCCGGCCTGGCCAGAGGGGCTCTCCTGCACTGGAAGGCCCCTTTGCCCTGTGGCATCACCTTCTGCCATCCCTTTGCTCTCTGCTGCCCGGTTTGGCCACTTCGTGATAGGTTGGGGGGGGGGCTCTCTGTCCTTCACGGGAGACTCTGTGTGATGGGAACCGTGGATCCTTGGTGCCCTTCCCTTCACTGCCCTGGGCAGTTCAGCCTCTCCGAACGTAGTTCTGTCTTTTGCACTTGGGTGCAAAAGTTCCTTTATTTGTGCGGCTGCAGTGAGAGAGAGAAAGAGAAAGAGAGAGAGAGCAGTTGGGCTCCTTGGGGGGGCCGAAGTTCTATTCCGCATTGGATTTGGAGGGCATGTGACGGAGGCGCAGAGCCCATCGGACGGAGGAATCGGCGGGCACACGCCTTGCTGACTCTGCCACCCGTCCTGACCGCCAGCTCCAGAGGACAGGAAGAGGAAAGAACGCTTGAGAAAGTCCAGGGAGAGGACAGGACAGTCACCCAAGATCAGGCGAGAAGAGTGTTTCGTGCCCGAGCCTTTTGCGGGCTCGCGGCAGGGCCCGAGGCCAAGCAGGCCTAGCTGGCATTGCCCAAGCAGCGGAGGAAGGTGGATGATCTGGGACAAGACGTGCTGGACAATCCGGAGAGTTTCCCCATCCGGCTGCGCATCGGAGCCCTTCAGCCCAGGGGCCTCTTGTGTCCCCGTCAGGCTGCCCTTCCTTACGGCAGGAAGAGGAGAGGAAGAGCGGCGGCCATCAGACAGGCAGAAGCAGCAGCAGCAGCAGCAGCACCGAGAGAGTCAGCGCGATAGTTGAGCCTAGAGCCAGGAAGGAAAGAAGGAAGGAAGCCCTTCATCCGGCACAGCCAGCAGCCGCTCAGACAGGACTTCGGAAGACAGGCCAGGAAGTGGGGGGGTCAGGAAGGGCCGCCGGGCCACCCCGGAGCCAGGATGCATGTGGCGTGTGCTAACCACGTTTGGTGTGTTTGTCTCCTAATCCAAACAGAATGCCAGAAGCCTAGATGCATGTAATGTGGTTTTGCTGCCGCTGGAGGGGGCCCCCCACACACCAGGTACTGCCAGCGCTTCCTCCCTCTCGCGGCTCCTGCAGGTGGGGGGTGGGTGGGTGGAAGGATGGATGGATGGAGGGGACCGCCGACTTGGATCCGAGACGGGGGACCCCAGCGGAGGACTTGAGCAGCAGTGGGTTCGTTGGGACGCTCCTGGGCAAAGCTTTATCTGGCATGATGGCAGCTGAGGAAGGCCAAGGCCGGTGCAGATCCTACCGCTTGGTCGCCTGGAGGATCTTGACTCGAGGCAGCCGGATCGCTCGGCTGAACCTCTCGATGATTCTAAATGGCGTTTCTGGCTTTCTTCTCCCCATCTCCTGCCCCTCGGAAAGCGGTGCCTGGCTTCTTTGCTGGGCGTTACTTCGGCTAATGCATGTGGGGCGTGCTGGAGGGGCACTAGCGGGCCTTGGCTTGAGCTAACCCCGATGGGCCCACCTTCACCTGGAAACCTGGCAGAGCAATTTCCTTCTGGGCGTCTTGGAGGAGGGGAGGCTGCGGGAGGAGATTCTCCGCCGAAACTGTCGTGGTTTCTGCTCCTCGGAAGTCGGGAAGTGGCCTTCGCGGCCGGTTAAGGTCCTAACTGCAGTGAAATTGAAGTGGGGGTGGGTGGGTCACTCTGGAGGGCTGCAGTGCTCGTTGCTTGCTTGCAGCTGGTTTGGCCTTCTGGCCTGCCCCCCCCTCCTGTTATAACAGAAGGATGAGGGGGGGAGTGGGGAAAGGAGCCTATTCGGGGATAGATTGGGGGTGGAAGAGCCGTTCCCGCTTGCACCCCCCTTGTGAAGGGAGCAGGCTTGCGGGGGGGCGGGGGGGGGGAGGCAGCTTTCCCTGCTCCAGCTCTGTCGGCCGCTCATAGGGCCTCCCCGTTTCCTCTGGGATCTTCTGGGGTTCTTAATCTGCCTTATCTCTCCCTCTTCTCTCCTCTTGTGTGCGCAGAGAATAGCGATACAGAAACTACCTCACTTGAAGCTCCATCGCAACCAACTTCGGACAGCTTTAAACCTCCAGTTTGTTTTCCAGAACTTGGTCCGAAGATTACCGACAGTCCTGCAAGCCGATCGCTCGATCGCTCGGCCTCTGCTCCGGCCGTTGGCTCCCCCCACAGCGGCCAGAAAGAGCCTGAAAGTCCCCGAACTGGGAAATCCCTGGATTCTATGCTGGAGCCCTGGGGAGGGTTGGGGAACAAGAAGCCCCCGGCCTCCGCACTGAATCTGGCGGGCGCCGGGGCCCACTCCCACCTGGGGGGCTCGGTGACCCCCCAAAACATATGTGCTGCTTCCAGCTGCCTTTCTGAGAAGGCTGCTGCTGGCCCCGAGCCTCAGGAGATGGGGGGAGAGAGCAGCCCGTCCCAAGAGATGAGCGAGCCCGACGCCCCTCTGCTGCTAGGGCCCAACAAGCTTCCTCCAGGTGAATGGAGGGAGCCTTGGCTTGTGGGGGACATTTCCTCGCCACTGGCTGATACTGCGGAAGAAGAGATGTCCCAAGGGGCCGAAGGGAGGCCAGAGGGGTCCCCAGCCCAGCCACCAGGAGATGACCACTCACTCGAAGGCCCCCCTGCCCCAGAGGCCCCAGACCCACACTTTCTTGAGTCAGCTGACATGAGCGCCACGGCCCCCGGGATGGAGACGGGGTTGCCCAAATGCCACGGCCTTCCTCTGCCCTTCGGTCTCCCCACAGCGAGCAGCTCGACTCAGCCCGGAAATGTCCCTGTTAACCGGCCCAAGGATCAAGACGACGAGACAGGCATCTCCCTCGCCTCAGCCCTGAAGGAGCTCCACCGGCTCCTGGTTGTGAGTTCGAAGCACGACTTCCGGAGAGGGGGGTCTCTGCAGGAAGAGAGCTCACCGGAGGTTCCTCCCGAAGAGTCAGCTGCGGCTGAGGAGTGTTCCCGAGAGCAAGCAAGGCAGGATCCAGCCCTCTCCCACCCAGCCGCCTGCTTGGAGGCCGGGACAGAGATGCTGGAGGAGCCCTACTTAGCTGGGGGGCAGCAGGAGGCTGCCCAAGGGGCCTCTGGCTGCGGTGACTCCGTCCCAGCAAGCCCTTTGGCGGTGTGGCCTCCGCCGCAGGCCAAGGAGTGCCTGAGAAAACCGACTGAGCTCTCATCCTCTGGCCAGCAGCATCCTGGCTGCGCTGCTGTGGGGCAGAGCTCTCTTGCCACGCTTGGCCCTCCGGAGTCCTCGGCGGCCCAGGGCAGTTGTAGCAATCCTTCCCCAGAAGAAGGGGGAGACTCCAGCGAGCATCCTGTTGAACAGCCAGAGCCGCCATCCTTTCCCGGCGCTTCAGAGCCTCACTCTCCTCCTGCCCTCACTGCAAACCTCGATCAGATTGTGGGGGCCGGCTTTACTCGCCAAGAAGCCGGAGAAGCTCTGGAGCACGCGGGAGGCAACGCCGATCTGGCCCTGCTCATCTTGCTAGCCAGGAATATCGTGGTGCCCACGTAGCCAAGACTGCCTTTCTGAAAGAGCCCCCCCTCCCGGTGACTACGTTTGATTCCTTTTTTTTTTTTTTAAGAAAAAGGGGAAGAAAAATATCCCTTATTTTCAACCAGCTCATCTCCTAGTTCCCTGGTTGAATTTTGGCCATTTAAAAAACAAACATTTGGTATTGTACGGAATCCGCGATTTGTTATTCCTATCCATTCTGGTGACGTTTACGGGAATAAACTTTATTTAAATACATGGTTTTAGAACGATATGCAAATTTGGGGCTTAGAAAGTATAGACCCAGGTCCGAGGGGGCGCTTAACCTTGGTGAAGTGCCAGGAAGGCAGAGTCTTCAGGAGCAGGGATGGGGCGCGGCACCCCATTTCTTACCCTCGCCCCCGGTTGACACCGTGTGCCAGCCATGTCACCGGGACTCCCTTCTGCTTAGCCTGCAGCTGTGAGTGAAAATAGGTCCCCGGGCAGAGTGCTCCGAGGGGGGTAGCGCTTTTTGGGTACTGTGAGAGTACAGTGGCCAGGTCAGCTCTTGAGGCTGGTCCCAAGGGGCCTTGGGAGGAGGGGGGGCTTTTGCCCCTTCTTGGTGCACGCCGAACCGCATCTTTGGATGCCATGGTGGATGGGCATGACGGTGCTGGGCTTGGCGAGGAGATAGCAGAGCTAGGTCAGAGAGAAGGCCGAAGAATGGAGGAGCTGTGGCGCTTTCTAATTTTTCCCTTGGGGGAGGTTAGGGCAGGGGGTTGCTTGCCGGGAGCCTCCCTTAAACGGGATGGTCTTTTAAGCATTGGATGATTTGAAAGGAAAGGCAGGGAATTGGCAGCTGGCGATCACATTTAACTGCGAGAGGGCAGGAACTGCCACTCATTTGGCCCCGATTCCACAGCCCAGGACTGGATCTTGGAAGTTAAGAAAAGGGGGTGGGGAGGGGGCTTCCTCTGTGTTTCTGAAGGCTTGAATTTTTCTCTGCAGCTTGAGAGATTAAATCTGTCCCGTCCCCATAATTCAGAGCGGACGGGAGAGTTTTGAAATGAAGGGGGGTGGGGTACGGGTGACGCACATATGTTTGCTTTTGATTCGACAAACGCTATGGCTCTTGGCTAGGATTTGCTGATGTCCGATGGCAGCGGGAAGACCCCACACACCCCTTTTTTACGGGAAGGTAGTAGTAGGGGCTCTGCACGGCAGGAGTTCCCTTGTCAGGTGCCCCTGAAGGTGCCCGTCTCTCTCTGGAAGTGGGTGCTGCCGAGGGACTAAACCTCTGGTTGCAGGAGCAGCAATGGGGCAGGAGGGAGGCGATGCTTTCGAAACGCACCTTTGTGTGTGTTTCGAGGGCTGCACTTCCTGGCAGAGAGAGTGCCCGGTTGGAGGGCGGTGGTGTGAGAGTCCACAAAAGCGCTTGCCTATCGTAGAGGGTTTGCATATAATTCACGGAGGAGCAGTCTGGACCTTGCTCCCTCCTCGTACGCCGAGTGAAGGCCGTGGGGATCACCGGTGGCCACACCCTTGAGTCGGGTTTGCCTTGGCATTCGTCACACGCAATGGCGGGCCGTGGCCTCTCAGGAATCTCTGCCTGTCACGGCGGCAGGGCTGCCCTTCTTCGCCCTTGCCTGCTTGGCTGCTGCCGGGCGGCATCGCGACGCAGTCGGGCTCTTTTGCCGGTGACCGGGTGACATCTTTGTAGCTCGCATCTTCCTTTTTACCAAAAAAATAATTAAAAGAATGAGGACGTATTTGGCAGGACGGGGCTGTTGCTTCTCAACTGGAAGAAACATGTAAACCTTTTGGATTTTAAACAATAAAAGATGTGTTTTCTCATAGCAGTTGTCCGATAGATTTTTATTTTACTGGTGCAGCCAAATCGGAGGGTTGCAGGGCCAAAGAGGGAGGGGCATTTTGGCGGGCAGCGGAGGGAGGAGAACGGGAAGGCGGCGTTTGTGTGTGCTGGCGGTGCCCCTTTTCTGGAGGTAAATATTAGGGACACCGCTGTAGCTTTGCCCAGCCTTGCCCAACTTCTTTCACCAGCTGGGCACCGATGCCACATCCAAGCTAAGGCTTCCATCCCAGCATCCCTTCCACCCGCTGGTGGCGCAACAGGTTTTGGAAGCGCCCACAGCACCTTCTCCCTTCCTCAAGCTGGCAAGTAGTGCCAGGCCCGTAACTGGCAACTCCTGGGGCGCCTGGCTGATCTTGCCACGGCAGGTGGGTGTGTGGGTTTGCCTCTTCTTGGCGGCTCCTTGACTCATCAGGCCCAACTGGTTCAACAGGTGAAGCCTTGGCAGGTGTCAAAGATGTGGGGTGGAAGAGAAGGAGGAGGCGGCCTGGGCCGGCCTTTGCCACAGGGGAGGCGTCCTGGCTGAGGAGGGCCTTGGTGGTGCAGGGGACCCGGGTGGAGGGGGTGGGTGGGCCTCCCTCGCAGGGCTGTTTTTCTTGGAGCGCCTGCGGGAGCTTAAGGTTAAGCTTAACCCTAACCCTTAAACTTAAGGGGGTGGGCATAAGTGCATCAGCGTGTGTATTGTCCCTGTCCTACTGTTCCCATTTATTTGTACTCATTTCATCCCATACTTCCACCTCTTACACGGTATCAACAGTAGAGACCTTCAAATGTCCAGGTTCTACCGTATCTCATGACCTAAAATGGACACCCAACATCAAAAACGTCATCAAAACACAGCAAAGAATGTTCTTTCTGATTTCTGATTATAATTCTAATTTTCTGAGATTGTGAATTTGGGGTTTTCATGAACTGTAAGCCATAATCATCCAAATTATGACAAATCGAGGCTTGAACTATCTTGCTTTGCATGTAATGAGTCTATCTCATATATTAGTTTCACCTTTTAAGTTGCATTACTGAAATAAATGAACTTTTGCACGATATTCTAATTTTTCGAGTTTCACCTGTACTGCACGAGTCAAAAAGGGGGCTGTGAAAATATTTACAGACCCCTCACATCCTGGACATAAACTGTTTCAACTCCTACCCTCAAAACGAGGCTATAGAGCACTGCACACCAGAACAACTAGACACGACAGGTTTTTCCCGAATGCCATCCCTCTGCTAAACAAATAATTCCCTCAACACTGTCAAACTATTCACTAAGTCTGCACTACTATTAATCTTCTCATCGTTCCCACCACCCATCTCCTCCCACTTAGGACTGTATGACTGTAACTTGTTGCTTTATCCTTATGATTTATATTGACTGTTTCCTAATATGATTGATTGCTTATTTTTACCCTATAACCATCATTAAGTGTTGTACCTTATGATTCTTAACAAATGTATTTTATTTTCCGTATGTACATTGAGAGCATATGCACCAAGACAAATTCCTTGTGTGTCCAATCACACTTGACCAATAATTTTATTCTATTCTATTTCTATTCTATTCTATCCTATCCTATCCTATAGTCTATTCCATTCCATTCCATTCCATATTCTATTCTATTCTATACATATTCCTATTCTATTCTATTCTATTCTATTCTATAGTCCATTCCATTCCGTATTTTCTATTCTATTCTATTCTATTCTATTCTATTCTATTCTATTCTATTCTATTCTATTCTACTCTACTCTACTCTACTCTACTCTACTCTATTCTATTATGTTTATACGTATATGTTTATATGTTACATTTATACTTATTTTCTCATACATGCTTGATAATAATAACAACAAAGCAACCTTTATTGTCACTGCACAACAAATAAAATAAAGGTGGAGAAAAATTGGCGGGGCCCGGACTACAACTCCCGGGATGCCTCTCGCTGCCCGCAGGGGCTGCCGGGAGAGTTGCGGTGCGCCGCTGTCTCCTCGCGCGGCGGGCGGCGGCGGCGACTACATCTCCCGGCCTGCCTCGCGCGGTCACGAGGGGGCGGCGGCGGCGGTGGTGTTGAGGGGCCGGCTCGTTCGCTCGCTCGCCCTCCTGAGGCGACCCTCGCCGCAGCGCCACCACGGAGGGCCCCCGGCGGAGGAGGAGGCGGCGGAGGCGGCTCCGGAGCCCCGGAGAGGACGGGCCGGAGACGCGGGCCGCCGCCATGGAGTCCCCCGCGCAGCTGAAGGACCGCATCCTAGAGAACATCTCGCTCTCCGTCAAGAAGGTCAGCGGGGACCCCTCCCTCCCCCACACACGCCCCTCAACCACCCCCCCCCCCCCACACACCCGCGGGGGGGGGGGCCCGCCTGTCAAGGGGGGGGAGGGGGGGGGGGGGCTCCTCACCCATCGGCTTCGTGGGGGGGCGGGGAGGGGGGGAGCGCGCGGAGGGAAAGGGGGGGGAGGGTCCCCTCAGACTCTGTGGAAACCGGCCTGACAAGGTAGGCCTTTCTCCAAAGGGGGGGAGGAGGAGGAGGAGGAACCGGCTCTTTTGTCCCCCCGCTTTTAAATGGGGATCCAGCCTATCTTGTTTTTAAGGACAAGCCAGCCAAATATCACAGGGAAGGTTGTTGTTGTTGTTGTTGTGGTTGTCATCATGGAGGTTTTTATTATTATTATTATTGTCATCATCATAGGGAGGTAGTTATTATCATCACCACAGGAAGGTATTATTATTATTATTATTATTATTATTATTATTATTATTATTATTATTATTATTATTATTATTATTATTATTCTACTACTACTACTACTACTACTACTACTATTACTATTATTTTTATCATTATCATCATAGGAAGGTTATCATCATCACAGGGAGGTATTATTCTTATTACTATTATTTTTATCATCATAGGAAGGTTATTATCACAGGGAGGTATTATTATTACTATTATTTTTATCATTGGAAGGTTGTCATCACAGGGAGGTATTATTATTATTATTATTATTATTACTATTATTTTTATCATTGGAAGGTTGTCATCACAGGGAGGTATTATTATTATTATTATTACTATTATTTTTATCATAGGAAGGTTATTATCACAGGGAGGTATTATTACTATTATTTTTATCATTGGAAGGTTATCACGGAGGTATTATTCTTATTACTATTATTTTTATCATCATAGGAAGGTTATTATCACAGGGAGGTATTATTATTACTATTATTTTTATCATTGGAAGGTTGTCATCACAGGGAGGTATTATTATTATTATTATTACTATTATTTTTATCATAGGAAGGTTATTATCACAGGGAGGTATTATTATTACTATTATTTTTATCATTGGAAGGTTATTATCACAGGGAGGTATTATTATTACTATTATTTTTATCATTGGAAGGTTGTCATCACAGGGAGGTATTATTATTATTATTATTACTATTATTTTTATCATAGGAAGGTTATTATCACAGGGAGGTATTATTATTACTATTATTTTTATCATTGGAAGGTTGTCATCACAGGGAGGTATTATTATTATTACTATTATTTTTATCATCATAGGAAGGTTATCACAGGGAGGTATTATTACTATTATTTTTATCAGAAGGTTATCACAGGGAGGTATTATTATATTATTACTATTTATCATTATCGTAGGAGGGTTATTATCACAGGGAGGTATTATTACTGTTATTTTTATCATTGGAAGGTTATCCTCACAGGGAGGTATTATTATTATTACTATTATTTTTACCATCAGGAAGGTTATCATCACAGGAAGGTATTATTATTGCTATTATTTTTATCATAGGAAGGTTATCAAGTATTATTATTATTATTACTATTATTTTTATCATTGTCATCATAGGAAGGTTATTATCACCACCACAGGGAGGTATTATTATCATCATCATAGGAAGGATATTATCACCACAGGGAAGTATTACAATCATTATTATAATCATCATGGAGGTTTTTATTATTATCATCACATGGAGGTTGTTTTTATTATTATTATTATTATCATCACAACATCATCATCTTTATCCCTTTTTTATAATTAATTCAAGGTGGCCAACCTATCCAACACACACCTCCCTCCTCCTTCTCTTCCCCCCCCACCACAACAACCCTGTGAGGTGGGTCGGGCCTGAAGGAGAGGGAGAGGCCCAACGTCACCCAGGTGACTGCTTTCCTGGCTTAAGGCAGGGGACTCGAACTCGCAGCTCCCGGCTCCTCCCGCCTTGGTGCCTTAATCATTAAAGTCTCTCCTAATTGCTGTAGTTGCTTTTTTTACAGCCAGATCCTTCTTTGCGACTGCGCTGACTTCATCCAGCTTTTCTCGGTTCATCATTTTGCCTGGCTTTCTCTCTCTCTCTATCTCTCTCTCTGTCTCTCTCTGTCACTCTCTCTCTCTCTGTCTCTCTCTGTCTCTCTCTCTCTCTCTCTCTCTCTCTGTCTCTGTCTCTCTCTCTGTCTCTCTGTCTCTGTCTCTGTCTCTCTCTCTCTCTCTCTGTCTCTCTGTCTCTGTCTCTCTCTGTCTCTGTCTCTGTCTCTCTCTCTCTCTCTCTCTCTCTGTCTCTCTCTGTCTCTCTCTCTCTGTCTCGTGGCTTTTGCCAGGCCGGCTGTGGCAGGGGCCTGGCTTGCCTAAACTCAGCCATGACAACTTCCCTTCTCGGTTGATTCCCCTCCGAGATTTCCCTTCTCCCACTCAGAAAAAAAAGGAAGTGGTCCATAAATGCTACTTTGTGCATTGGAAACAAAGGCAATGTATAACGTGGTTTTTATACAGAGCAGACAAAAGAAATTAAAAAGCTCGTGAAAGCATCGCCTGTTAGGCTGGTTTGGCTTTTCTTCACATTGAAATTCCTTGCTGCATGATAAGGTCCCAGGACTGGTCCTGCAAGAAGTGTTTTGAGTGCTTTTGCGTTGCATCATGCATAAATACTAAACGAAAAGTTTAGTATTTTCGTATTCTCTTTC